ACTAGTGGTAACATCAACAGTACTTGTTGGGAAAGGAGTGCTTGTGATAGGAAGAGTACTACTACTAACGATAGTACTTGTGGGGGTAGGTGTAGTGGTATTAGGAACAGCAGTGCTAGTTGTAATGTCAATAGTACTTGTTGGGAAAGGTGTAGTGGTATTACGGCCTGTAGTACTAGTTGTAACTTCAGTAGCACTTGTTGAGAAAGCAGTGGTTGGAATAGGAAGAGTGGTACTAGTGTAAGCAGAACTAGTGATAACAGTCTCAAAAGTGGTAGCCTTAGTAGGAACTGTAGAAGGATGTAGAGAACTTGTTGGGAAGGTACTTGTCATAGGTGTAGTAGAAACTATAGGGCCACCGTATATCCAAGTAACCTCAGTTAGCTTTTCTAGGCTAATAATCTTGTCAGTCAGTTGAATAGTCAGCGTCTGCCAGAAAAGAAGAGATAAAGTTGGTATTTGAGAACTTCTTAAACATCACATTTAAGTCATTTTCAAATTACAATTTAACAAAAACCACTGTGTTCATTCTTTTCCAGAGTGTAATAAAAGGATATAAAGATTCCTTTTCAGGTCACTGACTCCAGGCAGATAAATAGGGGGATATGTTGTGTGCATGACCCCTGTGCTGGAAATCTGTGTCTTTCCACTTCATTAGGTCATACCACATTGCTTGCAAGTATTTGCAGCTTTGATTAAGCATTGATAACCAACACTTATAAAAATTTCTTTGCCTTGCCACTAGATTTTAACCATCCTCAGGGCAATCTGGTTTCATGTTTTTAACATCCCCAACGTGTAGTATAGTGCGGGGCATATAATAGGCATCTGATATGCTACAAAGTTTCCTACAAAGAAGTTCTGCATCAGTCTTAACTGGAAGTAATTACTTGCAGAGGGTGGCCTTGAGCTCAATAGTCCAGGAAAAATGTGTTCAAGTAGAGAACTAGAAAGGACTAGAGAGAGAAAAGCTATCTGATTGTTCAGAGGGTCATTTTCCAAAATCCAAATATCAGCAGAGCGGGCACTCTTTCACTGCTTGGAAGACAGGAACTATACTTATCCATTTTCACTTTGCTAAATGACCCCCTATAGGTCACTGGATCATATTTAGGACAGGTCTAGTGTTCTAAAGTGGGATATTTTCCCCTCTGTGGTTACTCTTGGTAACTCTACTGGTAATTTGTCTTCCACGTAGGTGGCTCCAAATGCAGACCCTGCTAGAAGGTCTAGTAGGGTCTGCTATTTATCACTCTGTTTTGTTAACCAAATAATTTTATCTCACATCACAGGTGGGACATATTCATTTTGATGATTACTACAGTTGACTGCCAATTTTCACCAACCTATAAGATCTATCAATTTGACCAGGGACATGAGTAATTTCAGGGAGGAGGGAGAAAATCTTCAACAATTTTAGGGGATCACACTTTCATTTTAGCCTCCGCCACAGAAGCAAATAAGTTTTGTTATGCTAGCCTGAGAGACTAACCTCACTTAACACACTGAACCACTTCTGGGAAACACAGGGAAAAGATTTCACCAGACCATTGATCATTGATCCCTGGACTACATTGGGAAGACCACTGAAGCTACACATTTTACAATAGGATTCAACACTCCCAACTTTTCAGGAACATACTATTGCATGTATCTTTATAACCTTTCAAATATAAGCAAGTAAAAGAATGAAAATAAAAGTGGTGATAACTTTGCAGAATAATAAAATTAATTTATGATATAACATTCCTTTGAGACATACCTGATTATAAGGATCACTCTTGAAATTCATCTCCATGATTTGCTGGTTGTCATAGGTGAAAGTGACTTGTGTCACAAAAGTAGAGCTTATCCCCCAGATTTTAATATATCCAACTTTCAGTGGATTCAAGTCACTCAAATACTTATTGTGTTCGACCTGGATTTGCAATAGATTCTATAAAGAACATTTAAAGAGAAAAAAAAATAATACATCTGTTGAGAGACTGTATTTCACATTAAAGTATTAAGAAACCTCAAATTACTATTGTTGTGCTGGTTTGCTGTTTTATTCTTAAACACTTCATGAAGATACACTTCCTGAGTACCTGCTATGAAAAACTTGATAATGCCAACATAATGAAAGTTATTTTATCTATATTGTTACTAATTCTTACAAGGATTTTGAAAAGTAAGTATCATTATCTTAGTTTTACAGATGAGGAAATTGAGGCTCTGGGAGTAAAGGGAGTAGCTAAATGACACAGATATGGGTGGAATCATGATGTGCCTATGTGCATAGCTCTGTATGGGTTAACACAGCATGAACAAAGAATCCCGGCAAACAGGCCCAAGACTAAGGATAGTCTGCAATAAATATAGGACTGGATTAAATCATGAACTGTTTAAGTATCAACACAAGGGTTAAACTAATGTGAGGTTAAGTCATGAAGTAGTACATGATTAAGGCCTAAATGAAAATCATAGGGAATATTTGTTATGGATGGTAAGAGAAAGGAGAAATCACTACGGAATAGGGGGGCTCAAAAAAGGACTTAGGAAGGACATGGAACTTTAGGAAGCCTGGAAGGTGGATGGATTTAGAAAGGTGAAATGAATGAGGAAGGGGCTGGAGGCAGGGTCGTGTGGAAGAAAATCATGCTCATTGAGTGCAAAAGCTATGGTAGCTCACACTGAGCAAACGAAATAAGACTGGTTAAGATGTAAAATAGGATGAGGAAGATTTTATGCAATGAATCAAAGAGATAGTTGCAGTAGAGTGACACTATAAACTCCTTGACTCTCATGGCAACAGTAGAAAGAAAAAAGAAATCTGTTCAGTGGGCTTTATGGAGAATTTAATAAGCTTTGAGACTGACTGCGCAAGCAGAATCAAGGGAAAGTGAAGAAAAAGGGATATAACTTCAAGTAAATAGGTGTGCCGAAGCTAGCGCTTATTGATTTGGGAGAGCCTACTGTTAAATTGCCTGAAATTCTGCAAGCCAGTTGATAGCTTGAAATTAGCTAAAATGGTGGAAGTACTTACATCACAGATGAATTAGCAAATGCTACAAATGAACTCCACACTCCTATTACCCCATACCAGCCAGCACGCCATTGATAATTGCCCCGTGGAAAGTTAGAAGCTTTCTTTCATGTCAAGCCTCTGATCCTTAGAAAGAAATGCCACCAAATATCGCATAGAAATAAGAATTCACTTATCACTTCTTTGGAATAAGAGAAGAATGAAATTTTAGAGTTAGGAAGTATTTAAGGGAAATGTAATGTTTTATAATAAATAAACACAGCTTAAACAGGGGAAGTGCATTCCCTAGGTTAAATAACTAGTTAGTATGACCAGAACTAAGATCCAGGACTTCTAAATCAACAGTTTCATTAAAAAAACATTTTGAGAGGAAAAATATGTAGTCTTCAATTCAACTTTTCTTAAATTAAGAACAGAGAATTTACACATTGAATTAGTATACAAAGTCTTGCATTTAGTTTCAAAAAGGCAGCTGCAGGATGGAGACAGCATGATCTGACAATCATGTCTATGAGGATAATTTGAAAGTTTTAATTGACCATGAGATTTATAATATGTGATACATGTGTTTAAAAAATTAACACAATGTGAGGCAATAACAGTAAGAAAATAGACTATAGCAAAAAGAGGTCATAGGTGGGTAATGAACTGTTTATTGTTTTATGTCACTGATGTTTTGAGGTTGCCTGTTCTGCAGTATAAAGTTCATGCCGTCCTACAGAAGTTTATGGCAAGCCACATATGTAATTTTAAATCTTCTTATAGCCACATTTTTTAAAAGTAAAAGGAAACAGGAGAAATTGATTTGAAAATACATTCTATTTAACCCAACATATCCAAAATATTATTTTAACATGTATTCAATATATAAATATTAATGGGGTATTTTACAATCTTTCAAATATTTCACATTAGGCTAGTCACATTTCCAGTGCTCAGAATTCACACGGGGTCCCTGGGTGGCTCAGTCAGTTAAGCATCCAACTCATAATTTCAGCTTAGGTCATGATCTCAGAGTCATGAGATAGAGCCCCACATAGGCCTCCACACTGCACTGGGTATGGAGCCTGCTTAAGATTCTCTCCCTCTGCCCTCCCCCCAACTCCACTTGCACTTGAACATGCATGTGCTCTCTCTCTCTCTCTCTCAAAAAAAAAAAAAAAAAAGTCACATGTGGCTAGTAGCTATCATACTGCATAATGCAACTCTAAGATATTCTTTAAATCCTGGGTACCATGTTTTAAGAGGAATCTAGACTAACTGTGGTCCAAGCAGAATAATCAGATCTGTTTAAACACAAAACAGAGGAAGTGTGAAGTTAGCCGGCAGTTGTATAATTCCAAAAGAAGACAGAAAGTAAATATAACAGACATCTTCAAATAACTGAAGCACTGTTACGTAGAGAAGACAATAGATTTCTGTTATGCTATTTCTTAAATGCAAAATTATAGAGAAGCAAATTCCAGGTTTGACATAGAATGATCCTCCTACTCTAATGAGAATGATATAGGTTATCTCTGGAGTCATTTAACATGCCTGGTAGAATGGTTGTCTTATTTTCTCCAATTATTCAACTATTCATACCCTTTTCCATGTGATTTTGGCAATGCCCTCCCTCTCTGGATGGGGCATTCTATCCCACCTTTGTCTTTGGGCTTGGCCATTTGACTTTCCCTTGCTAATAGGATGTTAGTCAACTTGCTGCAAACTGGAGATTTTAAAAAGTGCTCAAGCATTTCCACTTCTGTTTTTGCCCTCTAACAGTCATAAAAAAGGTTCTGCCCAGAGCTGTCCATAAAGCAATCTTAGATCATATTAACATAAGGACTGGCTTGCAAAATTCCAGGCAATATAAGAGTAGGCTTTCCCAGGGGAGCCTGGGTGGCTCAATTGTTAAGTGTCTGCTTTCAGCTCAGGTCATGATCCCAGGGTCCTGGGATCAAGCCCTGCATTGGTCTCCTTGCTCAGCAGGGAGCCTGCTTCTCCCTCTCCCTCTCCCTCTCCCTCTTCTTCTATGTGTGTGTGCCTTCTCACTCTCTCTCTCTAATAAATAAGTCTTTAAAAAAATAAAACCAAAATAGTAGGCTTTCCCAAATCAATAAAAGCTAGCTCCAGCACACCCATTTACTTCAAGTTATATCCTCTTTTCTTCATTTTCCCTTGATTCTGCTTGCAATCAGTCTCAAAATCTTGTTAATTTTCCATACTGCCAATTGAACATATTTCTTTTTCTTAGATAGTTGAAGAGCCAGCTGACAGGTGTGTGAGTGAGTACAGCCAGGATCATCCAAGCAGCCAAACAGTCCCATGACTGATTGCAAGCCAGCCAAGATCAGCCAAGTCCAGCCCAGACCATCTGAACACTACAAACTCATAGGCTAAATAATTTATTTAGTGTTTAAATTATTTATTTATTGTTACAGCTGCTGAAGTGTTGAGGTTGTTTCTTATACACCATTGTTGTGCAAAAGATAACTGATCTAGCATTATCCTGCAAAATATTATCAGCCAGAAAATGATGTCTCATCCCCAGAAAACATGTCATACATTTAAAGACTCATTTTTTCACCAGCATTATATGAATTAAAAGTTTCTTCTTATAAAACTGATGGTATACTGGATAATTGTCAAAATAAGGACTGTTTCTTCCTGATATTAATGTCAACAGACCCAATTTGTAAGTGTAAAGGAAGGAAGTTCCTCCTATTAAGATGTAGGATATTATTTTGATACAGTTAACTGATAATGTTTCATCTGTAGCTAACTGGGAATGGATTTATAAAAATTCAATAAAATACTCTTACCTGAGTTGCTGTAAAGTTTGCCAAGAAATAGTTTCCATTTTCATAGGTATCTGTAAGCAAGAAAAAAGAATAAGCAATTACTCATTACTTCAACTATAGCAGATAATCTTGTATATAGTCAAAGGGGTCACAATTACTGATCAGGATAATCATGACCTCTCTGAGGAACATTAAGGATAGTAGCCCAGGGACTCGCACTCCAGGGTAGTATGGGGATGTGCATATGGAAGAGGGTATTTCAAGTGAGGATCAAGTGGTTGTAAAACCAGAAAATCTTGGTTGAACTAAAGATAGATACCCCAGATGAGGAAATGTGGAGGCTACTGACTGGTTTCTTCTGTGCCAACCTAACAAGCACATAACCATGGGAGTTGACATGACCATGATGATAAAGGTTCAAAGCAGAGGAGAGTGGTTAGGAATTCAGGCTCAAGTCAGATTGCTATGGATTCATATCCCTGCTCCTACAATTAATAGTTGTGCAAACTCTGGCAAATAACATTTTAGCATCTGTAAAATGGAGATAGTAGCACCTAGCTCATGGTATGCTGCATGAGCAGAGGAAGTACTCAAAATGTATACTTCACTATCATAAGCAAAGTCATCATCATCTTCACCTTCATGATTATTCTCTTAGATCATCCTATCACAGTGATCTAGTTCCCAAGCTCTCCTGCCTCTACATAACTTACTCCATCAGTTCTTCCCCAGGCCCTCTTTGCTCCTCTAGGCTCCAATTATGCTCCAGAACACTCCATTCTGACAAACCCTTTACTTGGCTCTCTCTATAGCAAGCAATCACCACATCTTTTTAGTGCCATATTGTCTCAAAAAAAGGTAGCCTCTGCTTCTTATGTCTGTGGACTCAACTCATAATTCAATCCTACATCTCCTATATTTCAGTTCCTATGTTTCCTTTTTTCACTGAATCTGATCTTTTCAAAGTCACCAGTGATACAATATATTAAATCTAAATATCTCTTCATTATATGCAGGTGTTTTAGGCCTCTTTCCCCACACATCTCTTCCTTGAAATAATCCTTAGTAGATGTCTACTTTACTCATTATAATGATTCTTATTTCTTAAAAGTCAGTTCCATTTCATGTTCTGTTCTTGCCCTTATCAACATTCCATCTCTTACCAATATTCCAACATATTCTCTCCTTGAGCCAATTAATCCTCTTCTTTCTTTTCTATAAATTACCTCTACTCTTGAAGAAATAATTATAAAACCTATATTTTTTAAAATTTAGCCTTGGCTAGAAAATGTAACCTAAGCAAATACTTATAGACTCTTTTAGCAGTTTGAATGAAGAATTTTTAAAGAATGGAATTTTGTTAATAAGGTGATCTAAGATTATCCTTGAGCTAGCTATTAAATCTCCTTATGTAAGGAAAAATTTAACAAATAGTTAAAAACCTACTAACAGAATATTTAAGTTAAAGCTATACTTACACTGTGTCCTGGTGTTTTAAATTTTGAATTTCTAAGTCTGCTTGGTGAAATGGAGCAAAAAGCTCCTTTGTGTAAAAGTTTAAAAAGTATAAAAATTTTAAAACTTTCAGGGACTATTGATTTTTAACCTTGAGACTAAGACATTTGTTGAAGGAAACTAAAATTTTATAGAAAAGTGTTTTCTCCTTAAATTTTTGAAATATATTGCTCATAGGGAGCTGATTTTTAACACCACACTAACTGTGGTGTTATTAACCCACTATGACATCAATCATCTAGTTCTAATTAGCTCATGCTATAAAAAGGACTCCAGATTCCCTTAAAACATTGGTTCTCAAACAGCAGTGATTTTGCTGGTGGGACTTTTGGCAATATCTAGAAACACATTTGATCATTACATCTTGGGGTTGGGGAGAGTGCTTTTGGCATTTGGGGGTGTTGCTATACATCTTGTAAGTAACAGTCCAACCACCACCAGCAACAAAGAATTATCTAGCCCAAATTGTCAGTACTATCAATCATATGTCTGATAAGGGACTTGTATCTAGAAGATATAAAAACACTTACAATTCAATAATAAAAAGATAATCTAATGTAAAAATTGACACAGTTTGTGAACAGACGTTTCTCCAAAGAAGATGTATGAATGGCCAGTAAGTACATGAAAAGATGTTCAATGCAATTAGTTATCAGGGAAACACAAATCAATTGAAGTTACAATGGTATATTACTTCACACCCACTAGGATGACTACTCAAAAAGATGATAATAAGTGTTGACAAGGATGTGGGGACACTGGACCCCACATGCACCGCTGAAGGAATGTAAAACGGTGCAGCCTCCTTATAAAAGAATCTGGGAGTTCCCATAAAAGTAAACATAGAGTTACTACATAAAGGGGAAATTCCACTCCCAGGTATGTACCCCAGAGAACTAAAAAAATATGTTTATACAAAAAACTTGTACACAAATGTTCATAGCAGCATTTTTCCTAATAGTGAAAAAGTGGAAACAACCCAGACATCTCCTAGCTGAGAGTTGGATATATAAAATGTGGTATATTCATACAATATCATACTATTCAGCCATATTAAAGAAAGGAAGTACAAATACATGCTACAACTCAGTAGAACCTTAAAAATGTTATGCTAAGTGAAAGAAGGCAGTAATAAAAGGCCACATTTATTCCATTTCTGTGACTCCATATGATTCCATTCCTATGAAATGTTTAGCATACATAGTTGCATAGCGACAGAGTAGTAAACGCCTAGGGCTGCATCTCCTGGGGCTGGAGAGAATGGGGGCAGGGCAAGGGAGGATTGAGGGGTGATATCTAAAAGGTGGAGGGCTTATTTCGGGGGTAAAGAAATTGTTCTAAAATTGTCTGTGTAATGGTTGCACAACTTGGCAAACATACTAAAACCAGTGAATTGTACACTTAAAATGGGTACATTACATGGTGTGTGAACTGTATCTCAATAAACCCGTTATCAAAAAAGTTAAAGTCAGGCCCAACAACTAACAACAACAAAAAGGCATTTATTTTTTATAAAAATATATGTTTAAAAAACTTCTACCTGATTAATCTAAAAGATTAATCCAGTGTGATTTCTACTTGTCATAACACTTCCAGGCTTCTCACTCCTCTCTTCATCAGACTTTCTGTCATCACATCCATATTTGCAAATTGTGAGCCCCACCGGGAGACTCCATAGGCATCTCAAATTCCAAGGGTGCAAAATTAATCTCCTTATCTCTCATCGTTCTCTAACCTGACTCTACCATTGTCCATGTTCCATACCATGATAATGGAATTGCTTCCTGACCAATCACCCAGGCAGGTAGTTGGCATGATCTGACAATGTAGTCTCCAGTCAACTTGGCAAGATGTCACTGACGCAATACAGTGTCGACTACCTTGGCATAGCCACTAACCCCTTTTGCTGCAATTTCTTGCTCACCAAACAAATCCCTGATTAAAATCTCATCCTTCATCTAGATTTAATTTAAGGAAAATATGTACTTCCTAGTAGATGGGAACATTCTAGCTCATTAATAAATATAGTCCTTAAATTTAAAAATTGGCACGGTAGCTTATTATTTTCTTACAAGGTGTAAGGCTGCAAATCTCTTAAAACCTAGTTTGGGTGGCTGGTTAACCTCCTTTCTCTGACTTTTGGACTTTCTGTTGTCATATTAACCACACTGATGTAAATGTAGTATATCTTACCTAATAAATCTTATGTTAAAGGCTTATACTGGAATTTTATTTACCTTGCATATTAATGACATATGCTACTCAGCATCCATGTGCCAGGAATTCTCTCTCTATATGAAATCATTTTGTCTGCATAAAGAGATCTACATGATAAGTAGAGTTTTGTAGATGTTAAAGATGACAAAGTGCTGACAAAGAGATGTTAAGCATCCTTCCAAAAGACATACAACCAGGAAATGACTGAAATGATATCTGAATCCAGAGCTACGGGACACCACTTGCCACACAACTCTCCGTGAATTTTACTTATTAGATTGAACTTTACAGAAATAATCGAAGACTAAGTTGAACTTTGAAAAAAGTAATCAAATTCTTTCATATCCCACCCTTAACCTGGTTCCACCTCTAAATGAGCAACCAAATCATTTGAAAAGCAGCTCCTTTAAATACCATATTCAATGAGTACAGGGTTATAATGCATTATCCATACACTGAGAAGAGAAAATTAAAGTACCATCTGCAATATTATCAAAAACTGAGAAATACTTAGGATGTATTTGACAAAATATGTGTAAGACCCATGCATTGAAAATTATAAAACGCTCTGAGATAAAGAAGACCTAAGTAATTAAAGATGATAGACAGATGTCCCCAAACTGATTTATAGACTCAATGCAATAGCAGTCAAAATTCTAGCAACTTTTTTGTTAATTATTATTTGTTAAAATAATTTTGAATCTACCTTAGTTAATACAGTGTGGTATTGTTATAAGTATAAACATAGAGATCCATGAAACAGAACAAATAATCCAAAAATAGAGTCTCAGCCATACAAGACCTATTCATAGCTAATAAAGGTGTCGAGGTAATATCACAGGGGAAAAGATTCTGCTTTCAGGGAAGGTGCTGAATCCATTGGATAAACATGCTGGGGAACAAATGAACCTTGACCATTACATACGTACAGAATTTAATACAAAATAGGCGACAGTCCTAAATGTAAAAGCTAAAACTCTAAAATTTCCAAAAATATAGGAGAAAAATCTCTTTAACCTTGGGTTAGGCCATGTGATGTTGTGACTTATAATATGTATTTGGTCTTCATCCCATTTCTGCCACAGAGCTCTTAAAACCCTTGGAATTTCCTAAGTGATAAGAACTAAGTATCTTTTATGATGTAATGTATGGTGGTTAACATAACAATAAAAAAATTATTAAAAAAAAAAAAGAACTAAGTATCTTTTGTTGTATTAATGAGGTGACTTATGGAAAGCACCTCAGGTTCCTGGCTGGTTGCCAGGAGAACCAACCCTGTGATTTGAAGGCTGGAACTTCCAGCCCCACCCAGAGACCTTTGGAAGGGGATTGGGGCTGGAGGTTGAATCAATGGCCAATGGCCAATAATGTAGCCAATGATGCCAGTGTAATGAAGCTGCCATAAAAACCCAAAAGGATGGGGCTCATAGAGCTTCCAGATTGGTGAGCAGGTGGAGATTCAGGAAAAGTGGTATCCCTGGAGAGGGCATGGAAGCTCTGAGCCCCTTCCCACATACCTTGCCCTACGCATTTCTTCCACCTGGCTGTTCCTGGGTTATATTCTTCTATAATAATCTGGTAATCAAGTAAGTAAAATGTTTCTCTGAGTTCTGGGAGCTGCTCTAGCAAATTAATCAAACCTGAGCAGGCGGTTGTAGGAACTTCTGATTTATAGCCAGTTAGTGTGAGGTATAGGTAACAACCTGGACTTGGAACTGGTGTCTGAATCCCAAGGCGGGAACCTCCGATCTACAGTGGGTTATTCAGAAGCATAGGTGACAAGCCAGCTTAGTATGAAGTGGGAAAGGGAGGAGGGGGCAATCCTGTGGGACTGAGCTCTTAACCTGTGGGATCCAGTGCTATTTCCTGGTAGACAGTGTCAGAATTGAGTTGAATTGTAGGACACCTAGTGTCCCAGAATTACTTGTTGGTATGGGGAAACACCCCCCCACATGTTAGAATTGGTACCAGAATGCTTTTTAGACCAAGGTACAAAAAGCACAAATATAAAAGAAAAGCATGGGAAAAAATGGACTTTTATCAAAATTAAAGTTTGTTTTTTGTAAGATACTATAAAGGAATTATATAGGCAAGTTACAGACAGGAAGATACAAATTGTATCTGATAAAAGACTGGTATACATAACTCCTACAGGTCAATAAGGAAAAGACAACATAATAAAAAATAGGCAAAGGACTTGAACCAATGCCTCAATAAGAAGACATACATATAGCCAATAAACATAAGATGCTCAACACCAAGGAAATGCAACATAATGAGATGCACTGTGTACTACTAGAATAGTTAAAATTTTAAAAACTGACACTAACACCAAGTGTTAGTGAAGATGTGGGAAATTGGAACTCTGAATTATTGCCGTTAGTAAGGAGAAACAGTATAGCCATTTTAGAAAATACTTGGGCAGTTTCTTCAAAAGTTAAACAAACAATTATCATCTGACCCAGCCCAGCAATTTCACTTCCAGGTTTTTACCCAAGGGAAATGAAAACGTATGATCACAAAATGACTTATACTCAAATAATCATGGCAGGTTTATGCATAAGGGTAAAAAACATAAAACAACTTAAATATTCATCAATAAGTAAATGGATAAATAAATTATGGTATATCCATACAATGGAATGTTATTCAGGAGTCAAAAGGTAACAGTGAATCATGGATCACCACATCAAAAACTAATGATGTATTGTATGGTGACTAACATCACATAATAAAATAAAATAAAATTTAAAAAAAGGTAATAAGCTACTTTTATATGCCACCAGATGGCAACACATTTTTCTACAAAAATAACTTTGCTAAGTGACAGAAGCTAAGCACAAAAGGATAGACACTATATGATTCTATTTACGTCAAGCCTAGAAAAGACAAATCTCATCTAGAGTGACAGAAAGCAGATCAGTGGTTGTAAGAGCCTGAAGTCGGGGTTGGGAGTGGGGGGTAGTTCACTGAAAAGATATAGAAGGGGAAATTTGGGGTCATAAAAATATTCTAGGGTGGCTCAGTCGTTAAGCGTCTGCCTTCGGCTCAGGTCATGATCCCAGGGTCCTGGGATCAAGTCCCACATCGGGTTCCCTGCTCCGCGGGAAGCCTGCTTCTCCCTCTCCCACTCCCCCTGCTTGTGTTCCTGCTCTCACTATCTCTCTCTGTCAAATAAATAAATAAAATCTTAAAAAAAAATATTCTAGATCTTGATTGTGGTGGTGGCAATATAAATGTATCTATTTGTCAAAATTTATTGAACTGTATACTTAGGATGGATACATTTTATCTGTATAAATGCAACTCAAGCAAGTTGATTAAAAAAACAATAATTTCACTTCTAGGAATCTACCCTATGGAAATAATCTGAAACACAAACAAAGCTTAATACTTGATGGTGTTCATAACAATGAAAACTGAAAACATCCTGTACCCTAGAGAGTAATTACAGAAAGTCAGATAAATTGTGGCGTATCCTCTCAGTGGGATATAGTAATCATAATGGTGTTTATAAGGAGCATATGATAACATCTAGACATATTTCTATCATTATGCTAAGTGCAAAGAAACAGCACTCAGAAATTAAATGTGCGGTATGTTTTAAGTGATATAAAAAATTAAGCATTTTCTCAAGTAACATGAAAGCAAAAGAATACAACAATAATATTAAGTTATTCCTTTTTTTCTAGTTTTCTGTCTTTAAAATATTTTCTTTAATGACAATATATTACCCCCATAATGAAGAAAATGAAAAGGAAGATATTACTAGCGAAAAACAAGCTATAATTTCAGAAACTGTGACACGTTATAAGATTAGAATGTTCTAGTCAGTAATAAGTATTGGAAAATGGGCGTCAGTTGGTAACAAGATGTCAGTATTTCTATAAAGATGTTGAAGGAAGAAGATGTTCTGACTATAGTGACAAACCCAATTATCTCAGGTAGCACTCTCATATCCCTAGATTGGGGAAAGTATACAAAGTAATATTTCATTGGTATAAGCATCTTTTTGAAAATGCTTAATTCCCTACTTCTGAGACACTAAGAAATTTTCTGAGCTCTAATTTGTCTCCTGAGTGAGCCTGCTTAGGAGGAACAGGCTGCCTAGTAATAGATGGCTGGCCCAAATAACAGAGCCAGGTCTGTGAACCACTGAGAATGAATGAACTGTCAGTCTGATACTTGCATCCACACTTTTATCAGAGAAAGGCAGTTAGTTATACAGAGATAGATCACCCCTGGCTGAACCCATAACATCATGTTGCTGAACCTACAAAGCTGGGGACCATATACTATTCTATAGTAATTACAATATAATATAAGGAGCAGGCAAAAATAGCAAAAATTCTCCCAACACCATCGCTTTATAACAGTAGCAGAAACAGGTGTAGGAATAGATTTTCAGGTTATGCCAATTATATCCTGAGCTATGGTTTTTCTGCCTGCTGTATGGAAACCCTGGAATGCTTATACTCACCAATGCTTTGTCCATCATCCCAGAATACCTGGCCTTCAGCTTTCCCATTGTCGTCCAATGCAACAATCAATCCCATAAATTTTTGTCGACTAGGGGAAAAAAAAGGAGTTATTTTTTCTCTAGATTATAGGTTGTAAGAATGAAGGACAGTTTCTGTTGAAAATATTACTCATCTATAACAAAAAAATTAATGCATTAAAAATGTACATAAAAATGCACATAAAGTTCTAAAAATAGGTAAATTAAACATATCTTCTTTATAAAAGAGCTTATTGCACACCCCTCAAGTATTAAGCTTTCCTAGATGGTTTAAAACAGAATTTTATTTTTAAAAAATTATACACAAAAATGTCTACTATATAATACATTAAAACATATAAATACCATTAAACTGAGATGTACTTAGATATTTGTCTATGAAAATATATTTTGCAAAGAGAGATGGATTCCATCTCAAAGGATGTATGTGCCAACCAATTTTCATTAAGTGTAGTCATATTTAAATTATTTTATGTAATGAAAGAAAATATTTGTTTGGAATTTTGAGGTGGTTTCTTTATAGTAGGGACTTAAAAATAATTATGGTAAATAAATACCAAATATGTATAATCAATGTCCTTTGATTTGAATATATTTCAAAATATTTAATTTTTTAAAGATTTAACTTTTAATAATTAATACAAATTTGTTAGGCATGATCTTCTTGTGGATTAAAAATACAGACACTTAAAAAATCAAATAAACATACTTTACTTACATACATATTATAAGTAATACGATAAGATATGAATTCCTTAGGAAGAAAACCACCAAACAACCCTCCAGTAGCTTCTAGATTGCTATAGAATAAAATGCAAAGTACTTGGTCTGGCATTTACGCCCACTATGACCTGATCCTAGCCTGCTTGAATTTTATTTATTTCATCCCTCTTCCTATTTACTCTCCAATTAAACTGATTGGTTTACTATTCCCCAAACCAAACTCATTTTTCACCTCTAGCTCTTTAATACTCCCAGAATATTTCTTTCCCTGTCTTCATATATTCAAATCCTGTTTATTATTTAAGACTCGGTTCAGAGCTCTCTTTCATGTGAAACCATGCTTTACACCACAAGGCTGAGTTAACTTCTCTCCTTTTGAATGGTTCTAGTTCTTTTTATGTGTGTCTCTCTTGACATAACATGTTCCTTTTAATTTAGTATATATATACAAATATAAATATATAAATATAAAATACATATATGAGCCTTTATATTTATATAAAATCTATCCTGAGTTGACCAATGTAGACCTGGAAATAAGCAATAAATCATCCTTGGATAGCCATCACCAATCAAGGAGCTCATTAAAATTCCCAGCTTTTTTAATAGTGTGGAAAGAGGTAAATGCTACTGCCCTCAAGAAAATTTTTGCACCAGGGTGACTGAGCGGCTCAGTTGATTAAACGCTGGACTCTTGATTTTGGCTCAGGGTGGTGAGAGAGATGAAGGTGACCTCAGGGTGGTGAGATCAAGCCCTCCTACTCGGTGCTCAGCATGGAGTATCCTCTCCCTCTGCCCATTCCCCCCACCCCCCACCCCCACACATGCTCTCCCTCTCTAAAAAATTAAATTAAATTAAATTAAATTAAAATTAAAGAAAATTTTTGCCCCAGGCCTGGGACACAGAGCTACAGATGAAAGATCTCCCCAAGACTGACTTCATGAATGCATTCTCCCCCAGATCCCAGTCAGAAGGCACTTAGGGAACTGAATCAATGAGAGGGTCTGTAATTGGGCTTCGTTATCCACAGAGCCCTGGTTAAGGCAGGCGGCGTCTGTGAGGACGCCTCCTTATGACAAAGTGAGGCCACCGGTAGCATCGCTCCCCCTTACCTGGCGTGAGTGTTCATCGCAGGCTCTTGCCAAGGCAGGATGTAGCCTCCTCTGATATGAAGGTTGATGTGGTCAAGGGGAGTGTCCAGGATTTTCCACTCACCTGTCGACACATTGCCAGTTTCCTAGAAGACAGAATGTAAGCAAGGAAGGATGAAGATAAAGAGATGAAATGAATAGATGCACGCCTTAATACAAGTCTTTCTAAGGAAGCATGTTCGAAAGTCAGCAAAAAACAGCAAGTAAAAGAAGAAAAAAATCTCTGATTTCAGTTTTGTTAAAAACTCTGGAAATCTAGTCTTTTCTCTGTATTCTCCAGAAAAGGTGGGGGTAGGGGTGGGAGAAAAGTCAATGCGATATGGTTGTTAGATTTTACCTGATTATGCTTTTTGTGGATACTTTTATTTAAGCAAACCTTGCTTGGCTGACAGGCTGAAAATCATTGCCTTAGAAATTATGTGCCCCAAGGTCAGGAGAAAGTGCTGGCCACCCCTCTAGCCAGCATGGACCAGTTTGGTTCTTCACAAAATATGTGAGTTCTTACCGTGCTGTAGTCATACCAGCGGCCTGGGGGAAAATAAGCAGGGGTCTCAAAAGTGTTCTGAAACATAAAATTGACACGTCATTATGTATATTCCAATAACTTAATTATTAAAATTCTTTTTGTAGAATTAAGATAACAATGGGAATTTTATTAATGATTTTAAGAGTTTGGGAAGTTCTAAAAAATTTTTTTAAGATTTTTTAAAAGATTTTGTTTATTTATTTGAGAGAAAGAGAGAGAGCACAGAGGAAGAGGCAGAGGGAGAAGCAGGCTCCCCGCTGAGCCAGGAGCCAGATGTGGGGCTCGATCCCAGGACCCTAAGATCATGACCCAAGCCAAAGGCAGATGCTTAACCCACTGAGCCACCCAGGCACCCTGAGTTTGGGAAGTTTAATTGAAAAAGCTCTGATAAAATTCTTCAAACATAAAGAAAACTTAATTTTTTAAAAAGGTAAACTTTACAATGATGTGGGGTAACAAGACACTAAAATGAGAAATCAGCTGGGGTTGTGAAGTTTTCACTAATGGGGATTTTGAAAAAAGAAAAAGATCTCCCTTGTGTGTTCTAGAAAGGTGTTTGCTGGAAAACAGCGAGCAGGACAAGATGATCTTTAAAACGCTCTTCTTGTACTTGAGATTATGTGACTGAGGGTTTCTGATCTATCATGGAAAACTCACACTTTCCAGCACGGGGCTGATTAAGAGGGCAGGACCCAACATGAACTGACGGTCTATATCCCATGTTTTGCTGTCATTCGTAAACCTTAAAAAAAAAAAAAAAAAAAAAAAGTATGAAAACCCTACCCAAGTGTTAGGACCGTTGCAGAGGGCTCTCCATCAGACGTGGCCAGAACCCCTGCTTGGGGGAACAGGCTGTACTCACTCATGGAGAAGGGGTCGGACGACAGTGCTGCCCTCAGTGTGAGCTTTATGCATCAAAGTGTAGAGGTAGGGCAGCAGGGTGTATCTGGTCTGAAGGACTTTTCTGGAGAACATCTCGAAGGTGGAATTCCAGGCCACAGGATCTTGTCTCTAAAGAGATAAAGGAACATGTGGCAGATACCTCTTTATGCCATCGTACCGCTATCAGAAGAAGGTCAGCAGACACATGTCCCATGTACCACTTACACAACCCCACTCTCCATTTCTACCCTCTCCCTTCTCTTGCCCTTGCTGTCCAACTAAACCGGTGCTACTTGCTTCCCATTCTTTATCACAGACTCCTAAGTCTCCTGCATAGGGCTGGAGAGATGGGTCTCTCTGTAGCACTGATGGAGCTTGGATGGATTTGAGTAAGACAAAAATTCTCTAAGGAAAAGGAGCTTCTTCTAGTTTAGCCCCATAGGGAGCTACAAACCCTACTGCCCTCCTAGGCACGCATTCCCCAAGACATGAGCAAAAGGATATTCTTGAGGATTGCTTATAACTCTGAGGTTTTGAACTCTGTGGGTTTTCTATGAGATGGAGGTTCTGGTTTTTATGATTTTTCCTCAACAAAGAAGTCTGCTACTTTTGAGGGTGATAAAGAAGTTGTGATTTGAGCACCAGCTGCCGCCTCACCCTTGTCCCGATGGTGTTGTGGTTTCTGGAAAAGGGGTAAAAGGCCCCCAGTTGCATCCAGCGAACACACATCTCATATTCAGCATTTCCAAAGAAGCCACAAATATCCGCTCCTGTCTGAGAAGATGCAAAATCAGAACATGAGGTGGGACTTTTGTAGGTTGCAGACACGCTGGAATCCGACTGAGTAATTAATAATGGCCCCAATGTAACTTACATACGGTATTCCAAAGAGACTGAACTCCATCATGCCTGCAATGAGAAGACACAGCTGTGTTGGACAAAGTAGCCCTTGCAGAGGGTACGTTTGCCCTGTCTCTTCCATACCCGATTTTGAAGCCCTGGGCCACCCATGAGGAAAATATCCAAAGATGGGTAGAGACTACAACTCACACCCACAGAGAAGTCAGCGCCTGCTGCTTTCTCTGCCCATGTGGATGATACGTAGACATAACCAATGTGGCCGCCGGCACACAAACCAGTCCCCTCCCTCCCAGCAGAGGCCCTTGGGAGGAAGCCCACACACCAATGATCGATTTCCTCAGCTGGTCCCACGCGGCCGTGTTGTCGCCCAGCCAATGGCCTCCCCAGCGGCCAGAAGAGGGGAATGTGGAGCGGGTGATGATGACCCCTCGCTGTCCCGTCACCTCCTGCACAGCTCTGGTTGGAAGGGAACAAGGAGGTGAATGGGGGGTGAATTCGAGGATGGACAGTCGTGGGGCTTCACTACAGAGAGCCACGCCAGTCTGGAGTATGAGGTGGCAATGGTTTTCCATTTGGAGCCAGAAAGCGTCTTCCCTGGAAGCATCTGCTATTTAAAGGTGATGCTAAGAGTCACAGCAGGACAACTGGAGATCCATCATCACCTAAATGTGGATTTCCTTTCCAAAAAAAAAAAAATTGAATTAACTAGTTGCCTACATAGAGGTGGCAGGAAGGAGTGGGGTGAGGTGTGAGACAGGAGTTTACGGAACAATTACTCTAACCAGGTATCAGCTTGGTCACTCCCGTGTATACTGCCTCACAACCTCCTGAGAAGGTTTCTTTGGCCTCCTTTTGCTGTTATAAAACTGAGACTCAGAGAAATTAGACAATTTGCCAGAGGACATTTAATGAGCAAGGAGGCAGAGCCAGGATCCAAATAAAAGTATATACGACTATAGCTCTTTGGTAATACTCTCTCTCTGTGCTACTCCTCACAAAGTGGGATAAATCTGGCACACAAGGACAAATATACACAAAAGATGTTCAAATATCTGGCTACGGAAGGTGGGTCTTCTGCCTGCAGTCTCAGTAAGAAAATAAAAACAATTGTGTGAGAGGAAAATCAATGGAACAAAAAGAGAAAGGCTATTAACAGATCCGATTGCATTAATATAATGCAATCCACACATTTGCTGAAGAAAGCATTACAAATCAATAGACACAGATGAATTATTCAGTAAATGATGTCAGGAAAAGCTACTGGGGTAAAGATTAATCCATTAGGTCACTTCCAATATTTCACACCAACATAAACCCCCACGTGGATGGACACACACCCCCCCCCACATACCCCTGCCTTCCACACACACATGTCTGAGAGATAATGAAGGCCTGAAATAAGGCAGGGGTAGAGAGGAAGGGTAGATGTGAGTGATGCAAAGAGCTTTGTCGCTGACCATTGCAGAACTCTAAAAATTAACCAGCTCTAGAAAGAAATGACTATTGTCTATCCAAGAAAAACCACTAAATCTTGGCAGGACAGCGTGGTGTGTGGGATTTGAACTTGGGGCTGTTCTCAGCTGACCCCATCCCTAGTTCAGTGGCTCCAAAAGCCAGCAGCCCTGCAGCAGCCTCAGAGATCTGACCTCTTTGGGGGCTCTGTGGAAAGCACCAGCCCCCTGAGCATAATTAATACTTTTGTTCTAGCTTCCAGCCCCCTGGAAAATCTCTATTCCCAAGGTGTTGTGGCCATTTGACTGGACTCAGAGCTCAGCTCAGCAGGGGAAAATAAATTCTCAAGCCAGGGAATTACCAAAACAATAACAATTTTCTGGCACCATCATAGGTATTCAGACTGGGGTTCAGTTGGGACGAACAAAGCTTGGCTGGTCTTAGAGTAAATCCTGGAGAAGTAGCACCATGGAGAACTTTGTAAAGCTCCTACATATTCCTGGGAATCGAAAAGACAGCACATGCGCAAGGCTCTGGGCAAGCCCAGCAAAGAGCCATGAAAGGAGAAAGTTCTGGTGACTCAGTTCTGGCTGCACCTGAGGTCCTGAGCCAGCAGGAAGTGAAAGGTCTTACAAACCGCCTCAAGGTGAGGGTATGGCTTCTCCTACTTGTCCCCTTGGCGAAGATATAGAGGCAAGGAATCCAGGGGACCAGGAAGGCCTTAACATTCCCTTCAGTTTGACTAAATTTTAGGCAGGCTTCTTCCTTTTTTTTTTTTTAAATTAATTTATTTATTTGTTTAAGTAATCTCTACACCCAACATGGGACTCAAACTCATGACCCCGAGATCAAGAGTTGCATGCTCTTGGGATTGAGCCAGCCACTCTAGGAACACACTCACTCGTAGGTGGGTCTGGTCTGGGCCCATCCGTACAGGCTGTGAACGTCGTAGTGCCGCACCCGAGAGCCATCTGGCAGGACCTGCTCACTCTCCATGCACAGGGTCTTGCTGCTCAGGCCCTTGTCCCTGGACTCCAAATCTGAGCGGAAATGCGAGTTACTTCCCAAACAACTTGCGTTGTGCATTCACGAGAAATGCTCATTAGCTTGCTATTTCTCCATTTCACTCAACGACTTTGTTACCCATAACAGTTCCAATTTCAAGAATTATTTTGTCTACAAAATCAACATGCTGTGACTTTATAACTAATGAAGGGTAAGGACAGGGCGTGGAGCTGGGAAAGGCACGCTTCATTGTCCTCCGGTGTTTATAGAGTGCAATCAGAGCTCACTGACCAGCACAAGAAACTCCTTTGTTGTTATGACTGTTTTTTCCACTAGATGGTAACATTCTCAAGGGAATAGATCTTGTTTCAAATAACTGTATTAAGGTCTCTAAATTTTCTGATTTGTTAGCGCTTGTCTGATACATAAATATTGAGGGAGGAAGGAAAGAGGGAAGCAGGGGAGGGAGGGAAGGAGGAGGGACAGAAACACAGTTAGTGAGACATGGACAGCATAACCGTGACTAAACGTCAAGAAACTTAGCAGATTCTGTCCCACAAACTACTTGTTTGATGCTTCTAAGAAGGTGAGTCGCTTCCTTCCCTGGGTTTCTATAAGGTGAGAGGATTCAACTTTCTGAGATACCTTTGATGGTAAGGTCCTCTAATGCTCTATTTCTGTTTGTACCACAGGACTACTAGGGCATGTCCTTCATGAAGTGTCTGTGGACATGGGCAGAGAGAGTACAGAGCCTAGATTTTCATTCTTTAATCAGAATATTCTGTGTGTCGGGGCGGGGGGCTTGTTTAAAGTGTGAGCAATCAGTTCATAGTTACAAATGTAATCATCCATTGCTTGGTTTCTTTCATAATACATCATGTCATTATTTCTATGTCTGATTAGTAATTTACACTTGTTCAAGGTTATTCTATTTGGGATTTTATGTCATGTGTACAAGTATTTTCTTTCTCCAAAATTAGGCTTTGCTATGACAATAAGAGGGAAACTTTCAGAGTTTTTGAGTAGGGGAGTAATTTGATGAAGGAATCATTTACATACATGGCATATAGGGTGGATTATTAAGAATTTCATCGCTGCAGCCCCTGACAGATCCATCCACAAAGTTTGATGGCTCATTCATATCCTGCAATGAGTTAACAAGAAAGATCCTGTGATGTCAGAGGCAGTGTGGCCTTGGCTCTGGAGGACACCGCTTCACGGAGATGAACACATCTTATTTAAGCCCTCAGCTAATCATTTCATTGACTCTGTTTACTCTAAGGCATTGACCCAAATGGACTCTAAGAACCCATGTTCATCTAAGTAGAGTGTGAAACTCCTAGTTTACCTGGCATTTTTAAACTTGTGAGGATTACCTCATAGTAGCAAAAACATGGAGATTATGCTGAATCCATGACCTAAGGAGATTCCTTGATATATCTCCCCACAAAAGAAACCCATCTTTGTTTTCCTATGTGTGAATTACTCACTTTTTATCTGTGGCCAATGGTTGCTATTATCTTCCCCTACTCTTTCTTAGTCCAGTAGCTTGGCCTAATTCTGACATCAGCAGAGACCAAACACAAGGAGTGTCTCGCTTTCTGCAATAGATGCAGTCCTGAAGAATTGTGGGTAACTCAGAACCAAATCCGGAAATCAAATCATACTTGGGGGATTTATTACTTAAATGCAAGAAGTGGCAGTTCCTGAGGTGAAAATTCACTGCCTACTTTGTTAGCAGAAAAGTTAAGATTTTGTAAATTGGACTACCTTAAACAGGACATACTAGGGCAAAGGCAAGTATTTTGGGAACTATTTACTATTTTGAGTTTTTCAGCCGAATCTGCTCGCCAGCAGAACAAAAATCCCAGAGCAATCATCTCCCTAGTCCTCAAAGCTACCCACAGCTCTTCACTATTTGCTTTGCCTGTATTTGGGCTAATCTTTCATATGTCTGCTCTGGGCCGATCCACCCTGAGAATAGTGGCCAGAGAAGCCCCAGGGCTGCCAGTGGGCTTGTAAGTCTGTCTCTGGGTGAATTATGAGCTTCTTTCAGCCTAGCCCGGACCTGTGAAGCTCTTGAGACCTGGCCTAGAATATGCTCAGCACTTCAGGTCACTGGACAGTGAGGAAGAAAATTGGGAATGTTGATATGCCGCCCATCCCTAGAAAAGCACAAATAGAAGAGCGTTTGGACCATGTCCTGCAGACATTTCAGGAAGCCCTGCTCTTAAGCCCAACTGACATGTGTAAGCAACATCTGAACCGGCCTTTGAAGATGAATCTGTACCACCACTATGGTGAACACCTATTATCTCTTGGATTCATGCCTTGCCCGCCCCAGCTCTGTCCTGTATCAAAGGATGGGCCCTCAGACTCCCCTAGCATTCGCTTCTGGGTAGTTTGGCCAATGGGAGGCACTGGCCAGCGACTGGAGGGTGGGAGATAAGAGAAGCTGGGGTATTTGTCCCTCTCCCCCTTTCTCTGGCAGCATCTCCAGTAGCGGCACATATCCTCCATGGGCTTCAGCTTCTGCAAGCATGTTCCTGGGCAGACCCACAATCATCTCTGTGTCTCTGGGGGTCCAGCACCTCAACTGTATAAGAGTATCCCTCTCTCTCACTCCTCCAGCCTTAACTCCCTCCTTTGCTTGTCTCTGAATTGCCTCTCCATGGTTTGACTCCTAACATTTCCAAAGAAAAACCACTAAGGGTATACTTACAATCCACAATCCATCAAACTTTAAGCTCTTCTCTGACTCTTCAGAATTCGCATACAGCTCTTTTATTTCCATCTTCCACCATGCGGCTGTGCTATTACGTAAGAAGTCAGGAAAAGCAACGTTGGCTCTGTACAGCTGTAAGAGTAAACACATACTCTCATATTGGGTCTTTGCCTGTCCGGCTGTCTGGGAAGGGGAGTCTTGGGACCAGGAAGGGGTGAGGAGCAGGTACTTATGCAAGGCACTGCTCCTCTCAGGGTCTGAAACTAGCCTCAGCTCTGCTGTTGCTTCTACAGAGTTTACTGTGAACACGAAGATCAGAGAAGGCTGACTGCATTCATTATTCTCCTAGAAGGAGGTTAGATAGTGTTAAATTCCCTTTAACATGAGATTTGTTTAATGACTGGGCCTTTAATCCTATGAACTGGAAAATTAACTATCTGTGTCTAAATGATCAAACTTTAGATACACAAATGTTTTTTTCTACACTGGTCAAACAAAGGAGACCAGTCATCCAGGGAAAAGGGAGAGTTTAGAGTGCAGAGTTTAAAGGGGCTGCTAGATACCCAGGCTGATGTGGCATCAATTGCTGAGTTCAAAAACATTACCCCTTTTGAACTGGCTGGCATATTTTCTTATATGGGGACAATTCATCAAAAACCCAGTCTGTTCATAACCTCTCCAGTGAAAATATTCTGGACTTCAATTCATTATTTTTCAAGCACCATTGGATTTAAAGAAAATACAATCTGTTAAAGGCATACATGTGAAGACATTTCACTTGATTTCCCTCTACACATTTCCAGTTTAGTTGCTTATTATGTTTTCTGTTTGAGGATCTCATTCTACCAAGAAATTACCGGTTGACAAGCATGCTCAGAGAGCTGCCTAACCAAGTGCTGGGATAAGACTCATAAGTATCCAGATGGTTAGGGCAACGTGGACAGAAATCTGCACATAACTATACCTTAACCTGAGTTTCATGGTCAAGGGATGTATCCACATTCACATTGGGCAGTTCTGGCCAAACCTAGAGAAAAAGAAGAAAAATAAAAACCTCTAAAAGGTATTGCACATGGACCATGAGATGATTCACGTGTCAGACTCTAATGACATGCATCTCCATAAAATTCTTGGAGATCTTTGCCATTAATTAAATTGTAAAATCTGAATATATGAAATTCTGTTAGGGGAAAATAGGCTAGGGTCCCTTGACTTATTTCATAAGCTTTCAAAATCATTAAGTTCAAAAATAAAATGAGCTAAATCTGTTTTAAATACATCCTCTGAACAATCACCTTTCAAATGTCTGCTCTGCGATCTGTCATAGACATATAACAAAATTCTCTTCAAAAATAACAAATTTAAAACATGACTCTAAAGAACTAAGATTGATTTCATTCACAACCTATAAACTTAGCCTCAGTATTCTTAAGCAGCATTATCACTTATTGGGGACCCCAAATACACATAGCATTAAAAAAATCCAGAGTTTCAACCAATCTCATCTATACCTAGGACATTAACTATATACATTAAATAATTAATCCATTCAGCAAACGCTTACTGACACTATATGATAGGCACTGTACTATAATCTGTATCTACTGAGATTTAAGTAAGAAATAGCCATTGTTTTCTTTTTTTTTCCTAAAGATGTATTTATTTGAGAGAGAGAGAGATAGGGAAGAGAGCACACGAGCAAGAGGAGGGGCAGAGGGAGAGAGAATCCTCAAACAGACTCCTCATTGAGCAGGGAGCCCGATGCGGAACTCGATCCCAGGACCCTGAGCTGAAACCAAGAGTTGGACTCTCAACCCACTGAGTCACCCAGGAGTCCCTCTAGTCCTTGTTTTCTAAGAATTCACAGATAAAATGTGCGTGCTAAGTGACATGCTGTCCTCTCTGAGGATACTAATATAGGAAAAGGAAGAAATAGGGAAAGTTAAACTGGTCATTGGATGCTTCCTAGGGGGGTACATTTGAGTTGGTCTTGAAGTGCAGGCATTATTTGGGTAAGCTGAGAAGGCAACACTCAAAGGCACAGTGAGCATGGCATGCACCTAGAACAACAGGAAATAGCACAGCACAGTTACAGAGCAGGGTCTGAATCGTGCCTAGGAGCTTCTGTCATCTGGGGTCAGGAAGTTTACCTACAATCCTGTTGCTATAAATCAAACAGATGAAGACTGAGGTCACAAAAAGGAGCTAAAGGAGACATGAGGAGGAGGAGAATTTACAGAGCTTAATGATTTATTTCGATATGGAGGATGCTAAGCATCATAGGTCAAAGATGAACACAAGTTTTGAGTATGGGTGCCTGGCAGGCAGAGACTTCAGAGCCATTCTCAAAGGACTTCTTTAGGTTTGATACATGACCCGCTGGAATGCATAAGGGGTGGAACACCAGAATAGATCCAGATAATAGAACAAAGCTCACTGATATTTTAGAGAATTAGACCTGTAACCTTGGTCTTATTAATCAGCATCAGGCAGATTTCTACTCATTCATAATTTATTAATTACCCATATATTTTGCCAAGATTTATTGACAGCCTCTTTTTTTTTTTTTTTTTTTTGACAGCCTCTTTTAATCAAGACATTCTGGTGCTGATTAATTATGGGCATCTTCTCCCAAGGCTCACCTTTCCCCAGACAATGTCATTGCTGTTGGGCCATTTGATGAATACATTGTTATCCTGCCCTCTGGTGAATGGGCGATACTGGGTCTCATTGCCAGAAATGGCTGGGTCCTGCAATGAAGGGGTTTAAAACAGAGAACATGAGAAAAACATCTCCAAGACAAAAAACAAAAACAAAATACCTGTAGATAATTTGCCTTATGTCTATAAAATTCTTGAGGAATAAAGTATGCTGTTTGAAAACATTCCTAGAGATAAACCAGGTTAATAAGACATTACCCTCCCATGAATAAAGCCAATTTATTGTGCTCCCACAGTGTGATATCAATACTCCTTAAGAACATGAAGCTTCTTTCTTCTGTTCTGTGTCCAAAGTGGCTTCCCTGTTCACCCCATCCCATACCTGCCTCAATTATTCTATAATAGTATCTTATTTCACAATTGTCAAATAAATCATCACTATCTGAAATTATCTTTTTTTAATGTTTACTTATTGGCTATCTCTGATAGAATAAAATCCCTATAAGGAAAAGGACAATGTCTTATTCATTAATTTAGATTACATACAAGCATGCACACACACACACACACACATTTTAGAACAGTGATTTTCAAAGACCCAGTATTTAATTAATACCTGAATGAATGAATGAATGAATGAAAGTCAGCAAATAATGCTCCATTTCTTGGAAGCTAGAAGGGAGGACCATTTGCAGGTAACTACTTCTGTGTTTATCAAAATATAGCCTCCAATGCAAAATAATGAATTGGTGTTCTGAATCTTAGCTCAGTTGTTTGTCAGTTTAATTAAGAAGAAATAAGTCCCCTGAGCCTCACCATTGCCGGGTAATGATACAACTGGGGTGGCTTTTGAACCCCCTAAGGTATAGATGAGACTAGAATATAGCTATTCCCTCCGAGGCACAGCCTGAAACAGTGAGGATTTTTGGATGTTGTTGCTATATTCAGTGTTTCAGTCCACGGTTCTAACTCTAACCAAGGGAATTGTAATAATAAATTACATCCCAGTGACAATTATGAAAAATAAATATTGCAAAGTATCACCATTGGAAAGCCATTTTTCATTTGTTCTGTCCTCCTTTATTTGCTTTTTAAAACTTTAAAAAATAATTATAGTTTCAAAGGAAGTTGCAAAAAAATGTTTGGGAAGTCTCGTGTACTCTCCATCTAGTTTCTCCCAATGGTACTATTTTACAGCCATGAACACAGAAACAGAAAATGGGCGCTAATCTTCTAAATACTTACCAGAATGAGAATGAATCTCATGCCATCATTCTTCATTTGCTCAATCAGGAGGCCGAGGTTTTGGAAGCTGGGGCTGAGAGTGAAGTCCAGCTTCCGGTCCATGTAATCGATGTCTACATGCTGGACATCCTACAGGGAGGAGCAAGCAAGATGCTGGGGATCCCATGGCAGTATCCTTCAGGGCCCACAAATGGCTCTGCCGACCCCAGCCTAGGCCCCTCCTAATTTGTCCCATACCTTGCTACACTGACTTTTCAATTCTGCTGATTGAAATTGCTTTCTGATTCCTACATATGGATCACCTGTCCCCATCTTTTCCTTCTGTTCCCCCAATTGGAATTCTCTCTCCTTTCCCTCCCTCGATTCATTTCTTTTCCACTCCTCAAATTTCAAACTGGTGAGCCTATCAAACCAAGCGCTAGTTGAATGTTCAAGGGTAGAAAGCAAGACTTCCCTGAGAAACAGAAAAGTGTAGTTTTATTTTCCCCCCTCCAGTAAATCTGATTGGATTTATTCACATTTAGAACTATATTATTGTATAGCTTTCTAGAATGTGTATATTTCTGCCATTCCATTTGACTTGATGGTCCATGAGATGAGAACCTTGTCTTCCTTTTTCTCTAAACAGTACCAACCCAGAATTCTGCATGTGAAAGTCACTCAATCCAGGATTGGTGAGTGATGGCTAACGTGGTTAATATCCAGTTGAAAAAAAGAGGTGCTTCTTTTTAGCCTGAAGAGGATAATCACACATATTGTCTTAAGATTCTAGGTAAAACTTGTTTGGGGAGCAGAGATTTGTGCAAAAGCCAAAGCTTGGAAAAGAATAAACCAACATATTACTAACACTGTTCACCTTGGTGAGGTAGATCTCTGGAATTTTCATCTTTTAATTTTCCAACTTTTTCTAACTTATATTTAATAAGTATATGGTAGAGTAGTATATAAAAATAAAATACTTAAAGCCTGGATGAATGTTTCAAATTATCTTTGATGAGAACATCATAACACTTTACTTTATTCTCATCTTCCAGTCATTAATTGTCCTCTAAACTCTCAGGAAGTGGACTGAAAGCAGAGAAAGAGCATAAGTGATGAGAAACTGATGATTACAGAGGAGGAAGGACATGCTATCTATGGACTTCTGCTTGCTGACAGCAATAGCCTACACTTCTTGTGGCTTATGAAGGGGTCTACATTGTCATTGTGTAATATGCATATGTGGGTATGTGTGCTTTAGAGAGGGTGAAGACTCGATTTTAACTGCTTTCGTTCATACTGTCACTTTATATCCATCCTCTCTAAGAACAATCACAATATAATCTGGGATTGCCATCCTCATGACATGATTCTCACTTAGAAGTTCCCAAAGTCATGGCTTAAGACCAGCCATGCCTACTGTAGGATATTCCTGGCACAAGGCAGTGAGTAACAATATCCCTCAATCACACTGCCAATTACTGAAGAATTAATGCAAATTTCAATTTTGAAGCCTTGATTTAAAAGGGTGGCATGAAATAAATTTAAAAAGCATTGTATTCCATACAAGACTAGCTCCACAACTACATTTTCCTATACTGAAGTAGTCATCAATAATTTCCCTGAAGACATTTTCAATCTATAATTAGGCACAAATTCCCATAACTAATTAAACCATGGACTGAGTGGGGGAATTCATACATAGGGAATCTGGGCCGCCATCATTGCCTCATACAATTGAGAGATCTCAGTATCATTCTGGTATCCGTAGCGACTTAGCTGGAATCCCAAGGCCCAGTATGGAGTCATTGCTGGCCGACCAATCAACTAGAATAAAAAAGAAAAATGGATCCAGGAAAACTTTTGGGGAAAGGGAATAAAAGTCCTATACTTGAAGCAACTTGAGCACTTCTACTGAGCACTGTCCAATCTAAGAGGCTTCACTCAAGAAAAATAAGAAAGTCAAATAAATATGGAATGACCATTGGCATGCAGAATGACAGAAAATCTCCTGTATTCTGGAGCTTCCACTCTGGGAAGGCTGAGAACTCAGGGGCTATTACTGATTGAGATTCTTAGGATGCTCAGCAAATAATTAAGAGACACATGGGGCATCTATATGCCTTCATACCTGTAACATTAGAACCTAACTTCAGGAAAGACAGCAATAATGTAGTAGGAATACCCAAGGGACACAGAAACAAAAATCGACCTATCTCAGTGCTAAGAACATGGTAATATCCAATAAACATTTGATTGTTTATCAATGCATAGAGTGAATTCTAACCTCAGTGTATTGTTGAGTTACAAGCTCAGGGGTTGGCCCCAAAACCATATAAAAGTCCAAAATCCCTCCTGTGGTGCGGTATGTTAGGGCAGGAGTGGGCTGGAATGACACATCTGTTAAAAAAAAAAAAATAGAAGACAAGGAGTCCTTGGAACTATACATCACCCAGATAGGAAATCTGCCCTCAAATGTACTCTTCACTCTCTCTCTTTCTTTAAAGCTCTCCTTCTCCGGAAAGTCTTCTTTCAGGTACTGGAATAGACGGGTTTACAGGTACCCCAAGCATAATCTTAATTTCAACATCTTGTATCACTCTACGAAAGGAAGTTAAACTGTCACAGTAAAAGAAGGTCGTGCAATTTGGTCAAAATTTTACTTCTAGTACCTGGCCTAAAGTTCTTTATTAATCTGGAAGGAAGGAAGGAAGGAAGGAAGAAAGGAAGGAAGGGAGGAAGGAAGGAACGAAGGAAGGAAGAAGGAAGGGAGGGAGGAAAAGTCAGTTTATCTATCCCATTTCCCTTGCCCTTGAATTTCTCTATTTCTATTGATATTCCAGATCCCAGGAAAGTGATCACAGCTAGTTATGGTGGTACACAGGGAACATGCCTCTGTCTTACCCATGGCATTGCTGTTTAGCAGGAGCACCCCATGGGCACTGCCATCCTCCTCCAGTGCCATGTAGTAGGGGTGGACGCCATAGGAATTCTTCTTATACTGGGAGAGCCATGGGGGAGAGTAGGCAGTAATCAAAAAAAATAAATAAATACTTGAAAAGTTGTTTCTACATCATAATGCAAACAGCAAACTCCTATTCAATATTGAAGATTCAGCATAATGTCACGTCCTTCATAAAACCTTCCTTAACCTTCCTTTCCACCCCAAATAAAAAACCAGGTGCCCTCCCCTTCCATGCCTTCCTCATTTATTATTACATAATTCTATTATAGCACTGATTATAATGGATTACCATTAATTCTGCATCTCTCTCTCTTACTAGCCTATAAGTCCCTGGAGAATAGACAGCGTTTTATTAAATAAGACATGTACATGACACACAGAATATACTAAAGAAAAGTTTATGAAGTAAAATCCATAGTCCACAGGAAAAAATATGTTAGGGACAGAAGGAGCATAACCTGTGGCCTATTTCATCTGAGAGCAGAATTTATCAATATAAGGTGAAGCTGATTAATAGGGCACTATACATGTACATATGGATTAAGATAAGTTTACGCGGAGAGAAACTGATTGATAGTCTTATTCTTCTGTGCTTACCGCTGGGGGCTCATCACGAGCAAACATTCCCCACGTGGTCCAGTTCATATTTCTTCTGAAAGCTGTGTGCTCTGTCTCCCCAAAGCCATAGATGTACTGAGAGGGGAGGCGAGTAGAAATGGAGAGGAACATGTCGTTGAAGGTGAAGCCAGGCAGCTGAGAATCCCAGCTGCAACACAAAGGCATACCTCCACATTGTATTGATCACAGGCTAGAGCAGACACGGGGCCCGTCTGGGAATTCTAGTTGATCCTGAAGCCTCCTAAAGGAATGCACAGCTGGATCCAGGTTCAAATACTGTGAGAAGACACAGCTCGTAACAATGGCCATGACTCACTGCCAACGTTCTGCATTTGCATTTTTATTCTGTGGTCTGGAAGGCTGAGAACTGTTTTTCTGGGTCATGGGCTCCTTGAAGGCAAGAACTATGTCTCACTCATCTCTTTATCTCTAGTTATCATGGTCTGGAGTATCAGTTTGAATACACGTATGAATAAATAAGCAAGGTCTAAGCAAATTTCTCAAAAGAAAAGGGTGAAGCTCTTAGAACGACTTCTCTTAATTGGCCAAAGGACTTCTTAGCAAAGAAGGCAACTGACCAAAGTTAGACATGCAGGCAAAGAGAGCCAAAGGCTGTCTACATGTGTGCCTACAGGTGATGGTTTTACTTGGAAGGGGAACTTCAGCCCCAGGCAAAATCCAGACCTTCACTTCATTGCATTCAGCAGCAGGACAAGGGATGAGAAATGACAACTCTTTTCACGTTTAACATTGGGAAAAGGCTTTAAGTCTACAGCGCTGATTGTAAGAAACTGTTTCTCTTTCCTTAGTAAACATTCCCTCTCTCCTGAGTCTTCTGTTATTTTGTAATGAGGCTATATAGAGCTGATTTCTATCCTAGGTTATCTGTCATGCTTATTAAAAAGAGTTTTCTGTTCTACTTAACAAGAACAATGAGTAGAACATGCATTTTTCTTTTTTCTGAAATCAAGCAACACTTATTTTAAGCCTCTTATTAATTTTTCTTGTTGAGTTAGTGACTAGTAGAAAATAGAGCAATAGATCTACTCCCTGTTTAACACACACACACACGCACACTTACATTGTCTCTAAGATTAATATTTTATGTGCATCGATCAGAACCACCATAATGATACTTAGAACCACTTTAATGAGAACTAAATAAATAGTGCTTACATCACAGTGCTGGAGCTTTTTCGCCGAATCTGGATCCCAAAAGGATTGTTCTGAATCCTGACGTCATACAGACGGTCTTCAGGGGAGCCAACTGGAGAGGGAGGGGTGTTCAGAGGCACTGGGACCTCGTACCTTTTGTTCGTGGAATCAAAGATCTAACAAGAAGAGAGAAGGAAACTTTCTGATGGAATAATCTTAGACCTAAAATCCCTCCTGCCAGCTCATATAATTCAGTTCCCCATGTTTTCTGGCCAGTTTGAATCACATTGGGAGGCATCAAATACCCCAAAGCAAATAGATGTGAAGTCTCCCCACCTACAGTGCCCAGTGTGGATCCTGAACTCCAAAATGCCTCAGAAATATCTATTCAGAAGCAGGGAGGACACTTCCTCTAAAAAATTTATGAATTCAGTGTATAGAATTCCATGGATAGAATGTGTGTGTGTGCGCGCGTGTGTGTTTATGAGTACGTGAATATGTACATGCACGTAATTGTGTTAAGATTATGTTTTGGGCATGTACATATATGTCAGAAATTAGAGAACCAAGTTTTTATATGGACTCAGATCTTACTGGTTGAGCTTTCAGATTCTTAAGACAAGTTTTGCCCGTAGCCCTGCTTCTTAAAATTGTGTTTCTCAGACCCAAAGCAGCAGTATAACCTGGAGGCTTGTTAGGAATGCAAAATCTCAGGCCTCCCTCCCCTCCACCTTCTGAATCTGAATTTTCATTTTCACAAGATCTCCTGAGTGATGCCTCCAACACAGTGTGAAAAACAATGTTTAGAGCTGGGTTGTAGAGGTGGTATTGTCACTGGTGAGACCCCCGTGACCCCCTGAATTCAAGGCTGACCCCCTGAACTCAGGAAACTCCTAGAAGCTTCTGCCTAACTCTAACTTTTTCTTTTAGAAACTAACTATGGAATTACTGGAACAGGAAAAGAAACATTTGAGGAGAGGTCTGTGTAGATGAATCAGAAAGTGCAGGCACAATTACCTCAGCTTCATTATAATGTTAAAACCCCCTTCTGATATTCATCCCAAGCCCTAACAAAAGGAGTCTGTTTACCCCTGTTGGGGAGTCACTGGCTTTGGAAATCATTCCCTGAAATCTCCTTATTGGTACACATGAAAATGACCTTGTGAGGCAGCTCCACCTACTGTAGTCTCTGTCTCTAACTCACCCAGCAGTGGACACACCAGATACCTGTGGCCATTAAATGCCCTAAAGGTGCTAATCTGAATTGAGACTTCTTATAAGTGCAAACTGCACACCAAAATTTGAAGAGTTAGTATGATTAAACGATTCTAAAATATCTCAATAACTGTATTTGGATTATGTGGTGAGATAATATTTCAGCATGTTGGTTAAATAAAATGCTATTAAAATGCATTGCATTTGATTATTTTCAAATACATTTTTAGGAGTGTGGCTATTAGGAAATACATGTGGTTCACGTTGTACTTTCCTCAGAGCAGAGCTGTGGGTCTCAAAGAGTGGCCCTTGACCCACAGCAGCATCAGCATCACCTGGAAACGTGTTAGGGATGCAGACTCTCAGACTGGAAACTCCAGGGCAGAGGCCCAGCAATCTGAACTTTAAGGAGACCTGTGGGTGATTCTGGTGCTCTCTGAAGTTTAAGAACCACTGCTAGAGAAATAACTCTAACATTGGAAGTGGGTCAATGCGTTGTATGAGTTTCCCATGGAGCAGACACAGTTTTTCACAGGGCTAAGAAGGGGTTCTTTGAGGACACTTATGACTGAGCACTTGGCAGTGCAGGACATTCACAACCCTGGTGTGTCCAAGGTCACATCCTGGTTCTACCATGCTCCTAAGTCTCTGACCTTTACCTCTCTGGGCCATGGTGCCTTTGTCCATAAAATGATGGATTTGGACCAATGGTGTTTCAATGACTTTCATCCACATGAAGCTGTAAGAACTCTGTGTTGAGGATCAGAACCTGTACCACCTTGGAAATTACCTTGAACTGCAGCATGTTTTCTGTGTGGTAGATCACGCTCAGCTGGAGGAAACTGATTGTTGCAGAGAGAGAGCCAGAGGCAGGGGCTGCTCGGGCTGATTCCGGGGCCCCCAGGTGGGCAAGGTCTGTGGTGATGCCCGTAGGCAGGTACTGAATGTTACTGGCGGCATACCTAGGGATGGTGTCATAGTAACAGGTGGGCACATCAGGAACAGCTGTGTACTAGAACAAGAGGAGAAATTCTTCATCAGCCTCTAACACCATACTTCGAGGGTCTGATTCCTGGAGAAGTTGGTTCACACAAACTAAGTCTCTTACACCATGACCATTATTACGGCTTGAATTATGATCCCCCCCACCATAAGATGAGAAGTCCTACTCTGGTATCTGTGAAAGTGACCTTATTTGGAAATAGGGTCTTTACAGATGATCAGTTTCAATGAGATCATTAAGATCAGCCTAACCCAATATGACCGGTGTTCTTATTAAAACGGGAAATTTAGACACAGAGACAAACCTGCACCCAGTGAGATCGCCATGTGAGGATGAAGGCAGAGATCGGGGTGATGTTTTTATAAACCAAGCAAGACCAATGAGTGCCAGAGAACCTCCAGAATCTGGGAGAAATGCATGAGACAGATTCTCCCTCCCTTTTCTTAGAAGGAACCAACTCTGCTGACACCTTGATCTCAGACTTCTAGCTCCCAGAACTCTGAGATAACAAATTTCTGTTGTTCTAAGTCACCTAGTTTGTGGTACTTTGTTATGACAGCACCATCAAATGATTTAAATCCATTTAAAAAACACATGCCCATTGGCCTCCTCTACTCGGTGGACAAGGAAAGGTCAGCAGTAAGCCTGATCTGGAGACTGGAATCCTCAGACAGGCTTCTGCTCCAGGGTTCTCATTGCTGCCATTGTGACCTTGAGGAAATCTCTCTGGCTTTCATTCTATTTTTCCAAATGAAGACAGTCTTACCTTACCTTCCACAAGGACTCTCTAATAGATGGAAGAAAAAAAAAACACCTCACTTAAAATACTCAGTGCACAATGCATATCCAATGTATTATTGTTGTGTTAAAAATAAAAGTGGGGTTTTAAATGCTGTGGTTGGAGGAAAGAGAGAGTGTCTTCTGATTCGGGATATCTGAGGAAAACACTGATCACTTCTCACACAGAATTGGCAAAATAATTTATCAGTTGACATAGTGTCATTGTCTTTCTGAAGGATGATTACTCTTCAACCCAGCAACATTTGGGAAGTGTTTTCTAGGTGCCTAATTATTCATGGGAGAGTTTTTCCAACTTCTGCTCACTGTGGTAATCTGTTCACTGATTATTACCTCCCAAAGGCACCCCCGCAGCCTACAACTCTCCTCAGAGACAGCAGCATCCTCAGGGTAGCATTTGAATTTCTCCAGGTCACTGACTGGAAGTTTCCATTCAATGGAGAATTCTTGACCGAGTACCAGTCCCTTGAGATCACTGATCTTCACCACCTGAGGAAGGAGAGGCCACATGACAAATAAGGTGAGGCTGAGCCACATGGCTAATGTCCTTCCCTGATGATCTGGAAGGGGAGTTAGCCCTTCCTCCACTTTGTCATGGGATATTTGGAATATTATTTTTTATCCTCTGGAGCTTTTGACCTCCCTGTCGGGAAAATGAACTTGGCTTATTCCTGACCTTTCTCACCTCATGGAGTCACTGTGGAATATTGAATGGGAAGGGCTTTCATCATATGAAGGAGTACAGATCACAAGCAGGGCTGTCTTTGTCAGACTCACAGCCCTCTGGGTGTGGTGCTCACACATTGTAATAATGATGGCAATAATAACAACAGTTAAACTTTATGGAGCATTTATATGGGCCAAGCATGTGATAACCACTTTATATGCATTATCTCCATCAATCCTCGAAGGTAATCCTATGCTGCAAATAATATGGCTATCTTCATTTCACAAAATAGAAAACTGAGGGTTAGAGAGGTTTAATGCTTTGCCCAAGATCTCGCAGCTAGGAAACAACAGAGCTAGGACTGGAATCCCATTCTGCTGAGTACAGAAACCAGGCTCTTATTTTTTGCTATCTGCATTGTCAAAATGGAAGGGGGCTGCCCTAAGAGATAGTGAATTTCCCAGCACTTGAAATAGTCAACTAACCATTGGAACCTTTTGTTAAAGATTAGCATGTAAGGGACTCATTCAGTAAGGGCAGAACTGAATTACCCCTAATGTTCTATTCAACTCTCCTTTTCTGTAATGGTATAAAAGTAGTGTGTCAGTTTTGTCTCAAACAAAGAGAGTCTTTAACTTAAATGAGTAACTTAAATACTCTCCAGAACTAGGCCAATGTATTGAATTATATTTTCACTGTATCACATCTGGAATCTGCAGGTCTAGTCTTAAATCTGCCCAGCGAAGAACTGCCTTGCCTCAGGGTCCCAGCTCCCACTGTCTTCTTCAGTGTTCTGATACAAACCAAGCTCAGGAGTCCATATTTAGCATGCATATGTTTCTCCTTCTGCAACTGCCCTGTGGTATGGTAGATTTGCAGCAAGCCAGCTGTCTCTGTAACTGCCCAAAGTCAAAAGAGCAAGGGAGAGCTGGCTGTCAGAATCTTAGCCCAGGGCTTTTGACAAGGGCACCCCAAGGATGGAACAGTCTCCCACCTTTGATGAAACATCGTAGGCAACATTTGAAATGGAGGTGGCAGAATTACTAAGTAAGACGGTAAAATTGGTAGGTTGCTTGTCCATTCCCAAGATTATGATATCTGTAAACATGAGGTTGTTAGGGTCCGTATAGTTATTATTTGTAATATTTGCCTGTAGACGGTTCTGGAAAAACAAAACCACAAAAACATCTGTTTAGAAACCAGGTACATCACCAAATACCCCTCAACATCTTGCTTTCTGACATCTGAGGTATGTCTTTTATCTCTGAAGTTCTAACTGGTGCCTGGTGATCATCCCCAGGGAATTTGCTAACCCAGACTCTTCATGGTCTTCAATCTTTCAGTAACATTTCACGTTTGCTTTGGTTCACTGGTTATTTATTGATTCCATCACTCAGGAAATGTGTTCCTGACACCACAGGATTTCCAAGTGGACAAAATGGGTACTCTTAAAACAAACAAAAAGACACCAGCACACACACAGACCTACTGGCATACAGAGATGAAGACACACACACAGAGTGCCTAAATATTTTTTTTTTCTTTTAATGATAATGAGGATAGGAGCTAAAATTTATGAGTGTTTACTCCGTGCCAGGCATGGTGCTAAGCATCTTGTTCCATTCCGACAGCAAGTTGTGAGGCTGAAGCTACAATGAGCCCATTCTTGGGACGAGAAGACTGAAGCCCCAGGGAAGCAGACAACCTTCCCAGGGAACCACAGTTCAAAAGTGATGAAGTGTAGCTCTGACCAAGGTGGAACTGAAGACTGGAGAGAAAAAAAAAAAAGCGGGGGACACTTTGATGTTTAAAAAGACAGTCTCTCTCTCTTTTTTTTTTTCCCCAGTGCTGGGAAAATTGGACAGCCACATGCAGAAGAATGAAACTTGACCTTCTCTAACACCATACACAAAGATAAACTCAAAATGGATGAAAGACCTCAATGTGAGACAGGAATCCATCAAAATCCTAGAGGAGAACATAGGCAGTAACCTCTTTGACATCGGCCACAGCAACTTCTTTCAAGATACATCTCCAAAGGCTAGTGAAACAAAAGCAAAAATGAGCTTTTGGGACTTCATCAAGATAAAAACTTCTGCACATCAAAGGAAACAGTCAACAAAACAAAGAGGCAACCCACAGAATGGGAGAAGATATTTGCAAATGACACTAACAGATAAAGGGCTGGTATCCAAGATCAATAAAGAACTTCTCAAACTCAACACCCAAAAAACAAATAATCCAGTCAACAAATGGGCAGAAGACATGAACAGACACTTCTCTGAAGAAGACATACAAATGGCTAACAGACACATGAAAAAGTGTTCATCATCATTAGCCATCAGGGAAATTCCAATCAAAACCACATTGAGATACCACCTTACACCAGTTAGAATGGCAAAAATTGACAAGGCAAGAAACAACAAATGTTGGAGCAGTTGTGGAGAAAGGGGAACCCTCTTGCACTGTTTGTGGGAATGCAAGTTGGTATAGCCATTTTGGAAAACAGTGTGGAGGTGCCTCAAAAAATTAAAAATGGAGCTACCCTATGACCCAGCAATTGCACTCCTGGGTATTTACCCCAAAGACACAGATGTAGTGAAAAGAAGGGCCATATGCACCCCAACGTTCATAGCATGGAAAGAGCCGAGATGCCCTTCAACAGATGAATGGATAAAGAAGATGTGGTCCATATATACGATGGAATATTACTCAGCCATCAGAAAGGATGAATACCCAACTTTTACATCAACATGGATGGGACTGGAGGAGATTATGCTAAGTCAAATAAGTCAGGCAGAGAAAGTCAATTATCATATGGTTTCACGTATTTGTGGAACATAAGGAATAGCATGGAGGACGTTAGGAGAAGGAAGAGAAAAATGAACGGGGGGAAATCAGAGGGAGAGATGAACCATGAGAGCCTATGGACTCTGAGAAACAATCTGAGGGTTTTAGAGGGGAGAGGGGTGGGGAGATGGGTTAGCCTGGTGATGGGTATTAAAGAGGGCATGTACTTCACGGAGCACTGGGTGTTATACGAAAACAACGGATCATGGATCACCACATCAAAAACTAATGATATATTGTATGGTGACTAACATAACATAATAAAATAAAATAAAATAATAAAAAAATAAAAAGATTAAGGGACCCACAAGCGTGCCCAAGTGATTTTTTGCAAAGGTGCAAAAGTTATGTAGTGGAGAACAAAGAGTCTTCAACAAGTGGTGCTGGGACAGTTGGCCATCCGGAGGCCAAAAGTAAAACCTGCGCCTCAATCTCGCATCGTGTATAAAAATTAACTCAAAGCAGATCACAGACTTAAATGTAAAAGGAAAAACTAAAATTTTTAGGGAAAAAATAGGAGAAAAATATTCGAGACCTAGAAATAGAAAGAGTCCTTACAGTGGACACCAAAAAACATAATCCGTAAAAGAAAAGAAATGATAAATTAGACCCTTCAAAATTTAAAACTTTTGCTCTGTGAAAGACTCTGTTAAAAGAATGAAAAGACATGCCTACAGACTAATAGAAAATATTTACCCACCATGTATCGAACAAAGAAGTCCTCTCTAGAATGTATAAAGAACGCTCAAAACCGAACAGAAAAATCAGCCAGTCAATGAGAAAATGGGCAGAACTGGACAGACATTTCACCTAAGAGAATATAAATATACACAGATGGCAAATGAAAAGATAGTCAACATCATTAAACATCAAAGAAATACAAACTGAAACCACAATAACAGGTCATTACACCCTTATCAGAAGAGCTAAAATTAAAAAAAAAAAAAAATTGTGACAACATAAATGTTGGTTATGATGCAGAGAAACTGGGGTACTCAAACACTGCTGGTGGGAATGCAGAATGGTACGGCCACTCTAAAAACCAGCTTGGCAGTTCCTCACAAAACTAAACATGCAAATACTGTAAGACACAGCAACTGCACTCTTGGGCGTCTATCCCAGACAAATGGAAACCTATCCATGAATGTTCATAGCAGCTCTATTTGTAATAGCTATGACTGGAATAACCCAGATACTCTTTATTAAATGAATGGTTAAACAAAAGGTAGACATCTATATCTTGGAATGCTAGTCAGCAACAGAAATGAACAGACTTTTAATATACAACAACTTGATGAATTTTGAGAGAATTTTGCTGAGGGAAAAAAAGCCAATTCCAAGCTTACATGCTGTATGATTCCATCTACATCACATTCCTGAAAGGACAAGATGTTCCCATGAGGGGAAACTGGGTAAAGGGGACAAGGGAATTCTCACATCATCTGCTAGCATTACTGCCTTCCTTCCCCTCGGTGCCCTAGAGAGAGAGATGAGGCAAGTGTTGTTCTGTATCTTTCTGTATCTTCCAACCTCTCAAAACCACCACTTAATACCTGTGTCCAAGGCAAAGTTTTGGGGGCTGGAAAAGAAGGCCATTATGGAAGAACCTCATAAAGGCCCCATACCACTCATCACCCCCCCATCCCACACATACCTGTACCCCACTCCCCACCCCGCTGCCAAGGACACATCTCAGAAGCCAGGACTCATATCAAGCTCAGAGACAATGATTTTTTTTTCCAGAAAAAAAAAACAAGTTCTTCACTGAAGCCATACTAACTTGAGAGGTTTATATATCTAACATAGATTAAAAACTCTCGTTTTAACTCTAGTCCTTTCTGGGGCCATTAGGCATGGCCCCTGTTCCACATGACCAAGCATTATAGCAAACCAAAAACTCAAAACACCATCACAGAAAAGAGCATACACTGTGTGTTCCTCAAAAACAGTACTTACAGAGGTGACAGAAAAATCATACAGAATATACTTCTTTTCAGCATCTAGAAGAGAAAGATAGAGGAGTACCCATTATTATAGGAAGCAGAGGAGCTGTGCGGTCATGCTCTTCTCTTCTTTTTCTCTGCTTACCCAGATTCTGCCCCTTTTTGCCAAACCTCCACCAAGTTTCCTGGGCCGCTTCAACCAACCCTAACTGCTCCGCCCTCCAAACTCCTATGGCACTTTGTGGTACCATTTTGCTGGCATTTAAAACATTGTGACTTGCACTTACAGGGCATCCACGTGTATATTTTATCTATCCTGCTGGACCAGGAGTTCCTCAGGGGCAATGCCTAATACCTATGTCTTATTCATCTTCATATCCTCTGCCTACAGTGCAATAATAAACACCCAGTAAATGTTAATTCTACGCAGGGCAGGGTTTTTTTTTTTTTTTTATAATCACAGACCATAAGCTTATGTCAGTTACTTCTACAGGAATCTTACAGTGGAAAAGCATACTATACAAATTAGATACTTCCCCCTCAATAGTAACCAAAGCAGTATTTTACAAATCTATTAACAAAAATGTATTATTTGGTATTGGTAATGATACCCAAAGAAGAGAGTAATTAAACTAAACCCAATAATGTCTGTTGCTTTGGTAGTCAATAACATACGAGTTGCTCATCTGAAGTCTATTTTAATGCGTTGTGCTTGGCTAACCAAACTTCCAGAATAAATTGATTCTAAGCTTACAGAAATCAGCACCGATGATAATAGGGTTAGTGCCATACTGGACAGCCTGCAATGACTAGTTCCCACTGAGAACCCTAGGGAGGGGGTCACGGGGAAGCCTACCTTTAGATACACCATCATCCCAGTACAGCTCGCCCTTTGCCTCTCTCTTGTAGTCCAAGGCAACAATGAGTCCCAGGGAATTCTTTCGACTGTAAAAGAGCAACTCTCAGTTTCAGAGAATGAAGAAAGCTTAGAACTTTGTTCAACTAGCCCCTTTCATGCCTCAGGGACAGATGAACTCAGAGTTGACCCCAGAAATAGAGTAGATGTTGACATCCTATGGAAACATGGATATTGGGTGTGGATAGACAGCAGAGGTTGGTAATGAATGACCATAAGAAGAATGATAGAAGGAGGCAATTCCTGCCAAAGACTGGGGTTGTGATACTCGCAACAATCAGCACTTACTGGGCGCTTACCATGTGCCAGCCATTCTTCTAAGTGTCCTATATACAGTGAGTCATGTCTATTATTCCATTTAACCTGCCTGATGACACTAAAAAGTCCAACTAATTGTCATCCCCAGTTTGCTCATGCTAAGCAGCAACACAGAGAGGACGCTGCCCATGGCAACACATGGTAGTGACAGAGCTGGGGTGTCTACCTGAACATTCTGGCTCTTGACCTTGGAAGCTATGTTCACTTCCTTGTGATAACTCTTACCTCTTATTTAACTTGAATTCTCTCATGCCCAAGAAAATCTACTTGAAGATAGTTTCTGGTCATAGAGAAATCCTTACAAATGATTATTTTGACTGTTCTTAAAATCTGATTCACTTCCCAAGTGAAAGACTCTAGAAATGTGAAGGAGCTGAGGCCACCTTATGCTAAATGAACACGAAGGTACCACTTTGGGGCTGACCTTGAAATCAGGGGAGAGAGATTCCTGACTGGAGATGTTTTCCCTTGACTTAACCACTTTTAGTGTCCATTTGCCTGTCCCATAACACCCTCCCTTGGAACCCCAGGGCAGTCACACCTTAGAAGAATGAGGAGTTTACCTGGCCTCTGTGGTCATGTTGGGTTGTTGGGTAGGAAATATGAAGCCCCCTCGGAGGTGAAGTCCTATCCTATCGAGTGGCAGCAGCATCTCCACCGATTGTTTCCTCCACTGGATGGCTACCCGCTAACCAACACAAGGATGACAGAGTAGATAAGGGACCACTGAACAAGGAGCAACCGTGCAGATCATTCTAGTTCAGTTGCCTCATTTAAAATACATCAGTCAGAGCAAGACAAATGCTGTATGATTTCACCCATATGTGGAATTTAAGAAACAAAACAGATGAACATAGGGGTAAAAAAGAGAGAGGCAAACCATAAAACAGACTCTTAACCACAGAGAACACACTAAGAGTTGCTGGAGGGGAGATGGTGGGGGAATGGGTTAATGCGTTGGGCATTAAGGAGGGCACTTGTGATGAGCACCGGGTGTTGTACGTAAGTGACGAATCACTAAATTCTACTCCTGAAACTAACATACTATATTGTAACTAACTGGAATTTAAATAAAAACTTGAAAAAAAAAAAAGAAAGAAAGAAAAGCAGGGACCCCCAAAAGCGAAGGGTTGCCCAAGGCATAATCGAAATAGATAGCAGATCTGAGACTCCAATCTGCCTATTTCTTTGAATTACACCGTGTGGTGACTCTTCCACAACTGGGCTTTCATTCACTAGGGTATCCCAGACTAAGGCCAATAACTAGTCCTCATAGCTGCACAGTAGCCAGGCTGATACAATGAAAATTCCCCTAAACCTACCCCGGGTATGCAAATTATTTCATAGTACACCTAGAAAGGCCTTCCTTACAGAAAAGTACCCTCTATCAACCAAACATAAAACGTTGCACTATTATCCTACCCCAAGCTCCCAGGACTCCTGCCTTAGAATTGCCCTCTGCTAGAGGCTGGTCTCTGACCCAAGCAGGGCTGCCTTACTTACTGTCTCATAGTCGTACCAGATGGCGTCCGGTATGTATGCTTTCACTCGGTCCACACCCTAGGGAAACACCAATATTGAACAACATCAGCATGCCCCTTACAGTTTCCACAACATCTCCTGTGTGGTTGCACGTGCTCATCTGAACAATCCTGAGAGGTGGTTAGGACCATCCCATTCTACAGGTATAAATACAGATACTCAGAAAAGTTGGGCAGTTTACCCAAAGCACAGCTGTGCCTAGGAATTAAGTTTCGAGGCTCCCGAACTTTCTAAGAGAAGCAGAGAAAGTTCGTTCACCGAGCTACTTGTGTAATCTGACAGGTGGGAGGAGACTGAAACAGCCAGGCCTCTAAGGAGAGCCTTCTAGCAGGCCCACTGCTGCTGGCAGCACCTGCCAAGAGATGGGACTCCGACATGAGTACACTGGCGGTCTCCCATGTTGGTAAAGTGATCAGCCGCATCCTGATCCCTCTCCCGCACTTCCCCACTCGCACTTTGGGAGGGTACATGTGGTCCTTCATATCTGGTCTCCAGAGTAATGCCCTCCTCCTTGCCCAGACCCCCCTCCCTACTCCTCTCTTACCTCTTCTCTTTTCCCAGCCTAACCCCAAGAGCCCATGCCCTCTGGTCAAAAGGAAGCACAGAGAGATAGCCAGCCCAAACTCACAAGGCATTTAAAGCCTCTCAATCCATGGTCATATGCTTAAGAAAACAAGTTTTAAGGTAATTTTGCAAAACAGAAATTGTTTTGCTTGGTGGGGCAGTGGGACCAAAAATTACTACTTCTCTAATTTCCAAACTTTCATGATCTCTCTCTCTCATTCATATTTATATTTTTTAAAAGATTTTATTTATTTATTTATTTATTTATTTATTTATTTATTTATTTGAGAGAGAGAGAATGAGAAAGAGATAGAAAGCATGAGCAGGGTGAGGGGCAGAGGGAGAAGCAGGCTCCCCACTGAGTAGGGAGCCCGATGTGGGGCTCGATCCCAGGACCCTGGGATCATGACCTGAGCTGCAGGCAGACACTTAGCGACTGAGCCACCCAGGCGCCCCATATTTATATTTATATTCATATTCATATTCAAATGCAGCCATAGATACTCCAGACTCAGCTTATTCAGCTATAGAGCCACGAGGACAGGTGAGATATTCTACCCCATTGTCCAGATTAGAAACACACCTCATATAAAACAGGTGTGATGAGGAGTCCAGGCCCCCATAAGAACTGCTCGTGCACATCCCAAGTAGCTGGGTCCTGGTAGAACCTGGAAAACAGAGAAGGCAGATGAAGCCTCCAGTACAAGGCAAGCACACATTAGGTGGCAACAAGATCCACACTAACCTTGTTACTACTCACAAGGCAAGTGAAATGAACAACCTAAAAGGGATTCTTTGTGGGTCAGGAAACTCACTCATGGACCAGGGGTCTCGCTACGGTGTCCCCCCGTGTGTGAGCTCGGTAGAAAAGGGTGTAGAGGTAGGGCAGCAGGGTGTATCGGATGTTCAGATAATATCTGGAAGAATTCACCAACAGAGAGTGTTTACCAAAGGCGGCAGGATCCTGGTCCTAGAAGAAAATGAAACAAATATGAGATATTTCCATAGCGTTTTAAAAGTGTGTTCCCTTATGATAAGAAGCTTTCTCAGATGAAAGTAGCTTGTTCTCCAACTCGGAAGATATCAAAGCATTTCCAAAACTAAAAGGATCTTTGGTATGGTTTCTTGATTTTATAGATGAAAAAACAGTATCAAAAATTACATGACTCTCCCAATGTAAACTGCAAGCAGGTGACAGAGTTTAAATTTGACGTGTGTCTTCTAATCCCAGTCTATGATAACCTCAAGGGTGATAAAGAAGTCCACAGAGTGGGGCGCCTGGGCGGTGCAGTCGGTTAAACATCAGACTTTTGGTTTGGGCTCTGGTCATGCTCTCAGGGTCATGAGATCAAGCCCCGAGTTGGGCTCTGCACTCAGTGCAGAGACTGCTTGGGATTCTCTCTCCTTCTTCCTCTGCCCCTCTCACACACGCTTCCCCCCACCCGTCCTCTCTCAAAATAAATAAATCGATTAAAAAAAAAAAAAAGCCCAGGAGGTTGCCATGGAGATAAAGGGGCTACAGTGACCCCGGCTCCCTTCTTAGCTGATCTAATTTGTTATATATTGAGGCTTCTCATAATACTTCATTTGGCTAATAATAATAATAATAGCAGTAAGTTGTACAACCGGTAAAAAGATTTTGAATTTGAAACCCACTGCCTTAGGCTGCATTGCCTACCACCATAATCTATACTCCGTCTTTTCCTTTCCATGCAATTTTATGAATTTGAAATTTTAAAATTTACATCTAGTTTTGTCTGTAATGTTTTCACCATCGATATTTGTTTTCTTTTCTCTACCCCAAAGACAGTGACCTCTATTTTTTCTTCAATATACAAGGTGCAAAAAAAATAATGACTTTATCCAAGAGCAAAGAAAGAACCCTTTAGAAGGGAAATCTAATTTTCTTAGGACCCAGAAACAGAACTTTTCCATTAATGATGGGGCTCATTTTGTTCATTTTCCTTGTAATTTGTAAGATGTGAAAGATAATGTATGTCATACTGAGATCTGTCATCCTGTACTCTATTACTGGGACTGAATTTTAGAGAAAATTACTTAAACTTATTCCTTTCTTTTGTTCCTAAAGATGCTCATTTCCTCCCTTCAAAAGGAATAGAAAGTAGAGTGGTCTACTCCAGGAGACCACTCTATGCCCCCAATGTAGGGCTCATGAAAACCCTGAGGCCAAACACCAACGAAAATAACACTCCACATCCTTCATCACTCGGGTCTCCAACCAAGAATGTGTAGAGCTGCACTGTCCACTATGGTGGCCACATACCACGGGGAGCTTTTGAACGCGTGAGATGTAGTTAGTAAGACTGAGGGACTGAACTTTTAATTTTACTTGACTTTAGTTAATTTAAATATAATCCTAAAAACTGAATATTTTTAAAGAACTATTTTTTAAATAAAATGAAGACTAAAAATAAAATATTTTTAAATAAAAGATTTTTCCATTAAATATAACTTTATTGTTTTGGTTTATTGCACTCCAACTGCTGAAAATTTAGCATCCAAACTGAGATCTGCTGTAAGTGTAAAATGCGCTTGAAGTTTGAAGACTTAAAAAAATATATAAGATATCTCATTGATCATATTTTGTATTAAACAGGTTGAAATGATGATGTTATGGACATACTGAGTTACACAAAATATATTTAAAATGATTGTTTCTGGTTTTTTTTTTTACTTCTTAAATTTACATTTAAATTTAATATGTGGCTCTCACTATCATTCTGTTGTATAGCCCTCATGGAGGGACAGGAAAACAAGCACTGTAACTGAGCAGCCTAAGTGATCTGAGTGCTCTTATCTACCTAACTCCTTCCAGGCCATCTCAAGAGAAAGGCAACCTGCCAAACCTGCTCCCAGCCACCTGCTTAGAAGTTCAGAAATAAATCTCTCCAGATCACAAATGGCTAGGACGGTCTGGGGATAAAATACTTTGATGATTTGGCTGTGAATCTTTCCCAAGTTAGAGACAAAGTCAAGAATGGCAGCTAAAATGATCATCAGTAAGTTACCTTGTTGAGCCTATTAAGAGCTAACCTACTCAATTTTGAAACACTTCAAGTGCAGATTACTTCATTAAGATAAAGGACATTCCTTATTACTTGCTCCTGCTATTGTCCCAGACATCTCCTTAAGAGGGGCTCTGAGCCCACTTCTATATACTCACCCATCAAAAACATGATTTTGGATAGGAAAGGACAAAAGAGTGAAAAGTAGTGAGGAGGGCAGGGTCTCGCAAATCATTCATAGAAAGATAGAGTGTTGTAACAAACACGGTTTCCTATTTTAATTGAAATAAATTTGGCTCCTGCACAAAAACACACTCCATCTCTCCTTCTAAAAAAACTATTCTGCTTAATAGTGCACTTCTTTTATGCCACAGGACGAGCAGGACTGGGAAAAGATAACGAAAGATCATCTCTTCAGCTGGGAAAACTTGGGAGCTCCATCCTACCCCAGCAAGGAGCCCGGCGGCCGCGTCAGGCCAGAGACTCCCTTCTCTGGGCTTTGCTCTTTCTTTGCATTCATACGTGGCTGCTGAAGTCAGAGGTGGGGTCATGAGAGGTCCAGCCGCTGGGGCCAGATGGCATAGGTCATAGGTGGCAGAGGGCAGGGCAAACTGGCTGAGCGAGCTCCTTAAAAGCATTCTATTCTTAGCAACTGGGGGTTTGGATTCAATCACTTTTCAACGCAGGAGTGGGGAGAGGAACAGGGAGAGAGGAGAGGAGAGGAAGCGGGCCAATGCTAAATGCTTTTGATCCTCTCCCTGTGAGCCTTACTGATGATCAGTAGGGGAAAAAAAATCTTCAGATCACTGGTCTGCCACGCCCTAAACCAACCCACCTTGCTCCTCCATATCTAGAAGTGGTTTCCCTTTACTGTTTGAGGTAAAATACCAGTGGCCTCCAACTGCCCCATCTTCTACAGGCGGTAACAGAAGTAAGCGATAGCAGCACCATAGAAAGTCGAACAACCCTTCTCACCTTCATTGGTGAATTAAGAAAATCAATATCAATCAATATAAAATACAATAAAATCATTCAATATGTACATACTTGCCATGCACCCTTATCCCAATACTCTGCTCTTTAGGTCTATGGCCCAAAATTTATCTATTCTCCTTCTGCTCTAATGGCCAACTTGTAGGATTTTTTTTTTTTCAATCCTTTTTGAGAACAAGTAGATTAGAGAATCCAAGAAGTTTCTATTGCTTTTCTTGGGGACCTTACCCTGAATCCAGGCCCATTGTGATTCCTTGATAGTGGATAAAATGCTCCAAGCTGCATCCATCTTGTGCAGAGCTCCTCTGTGACATTTTTTGTGTAACCACAGATGTTGGCACCTACCTGGAGAATTAGCACATATACAAACACAGTGGTCAGTGATAGTGGGGAAAGCATTGACTGTATACCTATGTAGTAAGGGGGAAAAAATCTTACTTCCACCATTCCATGCTTACAGAGGTCCCAGGCTTTCAGAGTCAGCCCCCAGCCAAATGTAAGAAATTAGCAAATGTACATGATGAATCAGCTGACAAGAACTCATTTCAATGTTCAATTCCCAATTTCATACTTTGCTATTCACTAATGCTTTGTTAATGGAATTTTCTGTGATGCTAACATATTTTACTTACGGTGTCTCTGTGCTAACTTCAAAGATTCCATGGATGACTACCCAATGATAAAATTTTACCATTCTATCTTCAAAAGACAGTTCATGCCACATATAAAAATGGATTTTCTAATACATACCACAGGGAGACATAAATGCCCCTTGGTTTTTAACACCTCAAAGACTAGCAAAGGAGATAATGCCAAAGGAAAAAGGTTAAAGTTCCTTGGTTGAGAGTAAAACTCACCATGGGGATACCAAATAGGTTGAACTCAAGGATACTAGGGATGGACCATCGGAGGTCATCCCATGTGGCCGAGTTTTCCCCCAACCAATGTGCAGCATATTTGCCAGATCCAGCAAAAGTAGAGCGGGATAAGATGAAGCTACTTTTACTGGGGAAGATATTCTCCATGGCCCTGGAAAGGAATACAATAAATTGAATGTGAAGTGAGCTGTGAATGTCTAGGACTCACCTGTACCCAAGAGGAGTAATGGGCATTCCAACCAAACAGAAAAAAACAACATGGCTTCATAAACTAGGTGAGCAAACTAGTTTAGCATTTTTTTATTATTTTATTTAAATTCAATTAATTAATATATAGTGTATCATTAGTTTCAGATGTAGAGTTGAGTTATTCATCAGTTGCATAAAACACCCAGTGCTCATTACATCATGTTCTCAATGCCCATCACCCAGTTTAGCATTTTTAAGAGCTTCTTTCCCACTTCTGAATAAGGCTTCAGACTTCATATATGACAGTCCAAACATCTACAGTCCAGTCCCCCAAGAAATGTCTCTACACTCCTGTCCCCTTGATTATGCTCTTTCTCTTGTTGGATCAGTTGTGCTCCGGCCCTTTTGGTCAACAATACATTGGAGCCATGTCTTGAGTTCTTGACCCCATCTCCTCCCTCTAGACAAAGCTTTTCCAATGTCCCTTGTTTCCATGTCTTGCTGCCCCTTTATAATCAATCCTGTTTAACACAGCACCAGGTCAGGTTGGAGCTCAGCCTCTGCTGGCCCTATAAGAACAGTTGGTACACCAGCTGGGTTCTAGGCAGCTGGGTTCCTCTAAAGCTTCAGAATTTATTATTAGCAATTCCCAATGTTAGGAAATCTTAATTTATGCAAAATAATATTAACTTTAATGAATAAAGATGACCTATGATGCTCTTTATAAAGTCAAATGCAATTAAAATATAAAATATTATTTTCATTGTACTATATACAAAATATCATATATCAAATAAGACTCTATAAAAGAGAAAGCAAAAGGTTTTGAAAACATGGAATTCAGAAAGATAATTACTTCAGGATGGAGGGGAACATGAGGTGGGGTAACAACATGAGATGTAAGAGATGTGAGATGTAAGTTATTTTCCTAGCTTTTATTCTGAATACTCTTTTGCATAGGCACTTTCCTGAAATGCCTCTCCCTCCCTTCTCCTTCCATGCTAAGCAGTTCATATCTTCCTTTAGCAATCTGAAATTAAACAAAATCACAACTATGGTATGGTCATACCTGACCCACAATCGCTGCGAACCCTTCTGTTTTCCCTTTCAGTACATGGTCTGAGACAAGTGTATCACCAGGCCCTGGGCAGTTCCTCACAGACACTGTCCCAGCCACCAATGCGCCCCAACTTCATATTCCTGAGTACTACCTTATGGCGAGTCTATAAATGCAAAATGATTTATAATGGCAAAAGGGAGAAAATTCTGAAATAGAATATGGGTTTAAAAGAGTGAAGTCCTCCACTTTGACGATTTAATGACCAAAAAAGAAAGGTACCATACAGAAGAACACTCACTCTTCACCTCCTACCCTCATGTCTACTTTGATCTTGACAAGCAGGTGCTTTGCCTTTGTTAGCACTGGCTAGAGGGTTTATGGCACTCTGTAATCACCCACCATGAAAGAAACACATTCAGGTTGTACAGAGTGAAACCGAAACGGGGATAAAGTTATCTGAGGTTAAAGGTTTATCTAGAGGCAGACCTTTATGATACCACAGATTAGTTAAGTCTGTGTTTTCCAGAGCAGAGGAACAATCTTATTCAGAGGTCCTCAAGTTTCTCTTTTCTGTCCCTCAGGTCTGGCAGGCTTATCATCTGTCCCGATCTCTGAAGGGATCTGGTCTTTCTACTTTCAGCTTAGAGGGAGAAGCTCCTTCTTGGGGTAGACCAGTAACCACTGCCCCCAAATGATACTTCCAGGAAGGCTGAGCCAAATACTCATCAGATTTATGGCTTAAATGCTGCTGATGCTCAGATCCCACTGAACAAAAAACATCTTATTTGTTTTTTCACCGCTCTGCCTCCTATCCAAAAGCCAATTTCCACTTATCCCCCCTGTTCTCTGGGGACTTAGGTCATTCTGCCTGATCCAGAGAACTTAGAAGGGCGCTTAACCTTCTCCATCATAGTTATCTTTTAACTATTAATCATAGCTATTAGAATATATTAACCACCCCCTCACAATCTTACAGCACTTCTATTACACGGTGACACTAGCAATGAAGCAATTTACAACTCTCTTTCCCTCTTCCTGCCCATCCTTTCTCACCCCAGGCATGTAGCCACTCTCCCTCCCACCTTCTGTTCTTCGATAGAAGCATCTTAGAGTCGAAATAGATCAGAACAAGAAGGAACTGTGGGAAACATTAATCCAAGCCTCTCATTTCAAAGATGAGGTAACTGAGCTTTATTCTTCTAGCTTATTTCCCAGGAAAGGAAGAGTGAGAGAGACAGAGGTCATAAAAGAGAGGACAACAAAATCAGAAATGTGTGTCCTTCTTCTTGAAGCTCCTTTTATGGAGATCAAAACTTTTGCATTTATTGGACAAGGTCTCTCTCTCACCTGGGCAATCTCACATAATACAAAGTCAGGAGGGCAAAACGGTCCTGGAGAACAAAACAGGGGCAGTTGCTGCCTCTGATTCACCAGGGCCCCTGCAGGCCCTTCCTGATGTCTCTTCCTCGGGCCAGGCAGCTATGCAACACAGGTACATATACTATTCCTCATGCTAAAGTTACAGGGGTGACTTTTCCCTCAAAAAACTTGCAGTCCGGCAAGAGAAAAAAGGGGGGATTATCTAAATGTTATAATACAAGATTTTTGCATATTGAGCATATTGTAATACAAACAAAGGTAACACAAAAAAAGGGAAATAATCTTTTCCTAGAACTGACAGGAAGATTTCTAGAAACATCTGAAAAGAGGCTTTAAAGATAAGCATATGTTTGCAGACAGGAGAACTGAGAGGGAGCCTGGGGAAGGCAGTGGGGAGAGAAGCCAGGAGGGTGTGGTGTGGGTAGCCCTGCCAGGTAGACAAGGGATGCTCGGGCAAACTTGAATTTCATCTAAACAATGGATCGTTTTCAGTGTAAGTGTGTACACTACAAATTACCTGGGTCCTATATTTTTATTTGCCAAATCAGGCAACCCTAGTGTGGTTTGGTAACAGGACCTAAGCAAGGGCTGGCTTCCAACTCAGGGCTCTAAATACCTCACACATTACTGCCTACCAGTATTTAATGAAGTCCCTTAGTCACAAGCCAATCAAAACTAATCTCACACAGGCACCAAGGGACTCTATGAGAAGAGCTCTTAAGTATCCTCTAAGATCTGAGTTGTACATCCTCAGAACCACAAAATATATTTGAAAAACATACTTATGGAAGATACAGAAAACCCTCCGCCTCCCACCACCCCCAGAAGGGAATTAGGGTGAAAACCAAGTGCTTACGAGTGTGTTGCTTTTGCCATGGAGTAGCCATACAAGCTATGGACATCATAGTGAAAGCCCCACTGAAATTCTACATCCATGCAGAGGGTTCTTGCAAAAAGCAAGCGGTCCAGAATTCCTGTGGGGAAATAGCCATTAGTGACGCACTTCCCAATCAATCAGCTCTAACAAAATAACCGCCCAGTTATTCCCTTCCCGGTGACTGCACCTTCCTACCCAATCTCCACCTGACAAAATCCTTTCCAGTTTTAAACTCTATCCTAAATGCTACATCCTACCTGGGACCCACACTAAGCCCCTCTCTGAGACAGATCATTAAAATTAGGTGTATTCCCTCAGAGCTCATAAAACATGGTGCTGAGAAGAGACCACTGGAAAATGAGAGGAGAGCAATGGGAAGTTGGCCTGAGATGAAATGTAAATAAAGCACCACATTTCTCTACACGTATTTGATCGAGAAGAATTGAGTGTGTAAGGAACAGAGATGAGGGGCAGTGGGAAAGATGTACTTTCATTCTTCCATTATAAGCATTCAACCTGTTATGCTTTTTTTTAAGAAATGCGATATGACATTTGGGTGGTTTCATGAATAAGAACTCAGATCCTGCTTCTAGAATCACCATTGTCTGACTGTTATTTTCCCTTTTCATGCCAAAAATGCTCAACATTTTCTGCTTTGTAGCCTAGAATCTCGTTATTTCCTTTTCTTCTTATGAACCAATAATGGGGCGGGGCACCATATCAGCTCTCCTTCATGAGGCCTTGCCATGGACACAGGGCCTCAGTATGAAGCACAGTTCCAGAAAGTAATGGAACCAGGAAACCCTGACATTGACTTTTTCCCACTAGCCCAACAGAATCTCACCAGCCCAACTTAATCAGAAATTAAGTTGAATGATAAAACATGAAATTTATATTTTTGGCACAGCTCGGTTTGTGGAATGAGACTCACAACCACTTCAATGATAAGAAAAAAAAAACACTAAAATTGTCCCAGGGTCAAAGGTAATTTATGTAAGTCTTTATCACACTAATGTGTACTGTCCAATCCTGAAAAGGTGAGAAGCAGAGCAGCTACGAGGTAGTGGCTTGTCACAAATAGGCAGACAAAAATGTTGGGAGCTGGGGGGTGAGGTGCTTGCCAGAAGCAGGCAGAGGGGATGAGATTGCAGTTTTCTATAGAAAAAACAAAAAACAAAAAACAAAAACTTAGTTCTCGCTAAGAAGATTAAGAGATTAAAAGAGAAACATAATAAACTGATCTGCAGTGGAAAAAAATGGGGGGGGGTCATAGACTGAGCAGAGAAGAATGAGGAATAAGCAGACAAGCAAACAGCAGATTTTGCAAGAGGTTAAATGGTTTGAAGCCAAGATTCCTCCTAAAAAAGTTCTCCACTCCTTCAGGGACCAAAAGGAGCTAAAGAAACAGGTCATCCATAGTCCAGGGTGCAAGTGAAGTGGACAAACCAGAATCAACTGGCAGAGACTAGCCAGATCCTCACCAAGGCTGTGTTCTCTTCCTGGGAGAGTTAAGATTATATTTCACACTTTCGCTGGAGGTTGAACTGAGAATAATTGATTGGATTCTGAGCAAAGAAATGCGAGCAAATTGTATACGCCCCACTTCTAGGCCTGCCAATAAAACTTCTCTACCGTCCCTCTCCTTCACCCAGGAAGCTGGAAATAAAGGATTCTGAGATGGGAGAACGAGGCAATGGAAGTAACTAGATCCCTGAGCCACTGCTTGGATGAGAGCCACACATCTCATGCTGCAGTATATGAGCAAAAAATAAATTTTTATTGTGTTAATCCACAGCATAATCTATTTGATACTGTTTCACACACATACATACTTTCAAAATCAGGACTGGAAAATCTGACTAAGAATGAGATTTAAAAATAAGAAGGATCTAAAAGGAACCATGGATGCTTTAAATTGTGGCTGATGAGCTAAAAAAAAAAGTTCACAAAATTACAGAGTTCCTTCAATGGAAGGTAGTTTCTACCTTAAAATATTATGGTATTCTCACAAAGTTGAAAACTGAACCATTTGTCTGAGGGGTTTGGAGACCACGAAGAGAATGGGAGGATGCAGAGCCCCCTGAGGGAGGCGTGCATCCACCACACACTTGCCCTCGGGTTCCGGCAGCCAGAAGGTGGCCAGAGCCCATGGGCACAGCAAGGCCTTGGGTAGGGGAGCAGCCAGGGTGCCCGCAGGCCCCTTGCACTGAGACTGTTCTCAGCCACGCGGAGTGCTGTTGAGCTTGCTCTAAGTGTATCTCCAGACAACTTACGGGGAGTGAAAGGAGGAAAGTTGAGGGTGTTCCATTCACACCCGCGATCAGAACCTTGGAGAAAGCTGGTTACTTCATCCATTTCCTTCAAAGACACAAGATGCACAAAGGGAAGTGTTACCGATGTAGGGTTAGTCTTCCGGCAAGGTTTACTCAACTGGAAGCCCCACATTTGGGGCCTCTTACTAATTGACTTTGGGATCTTGAGTAATCTTCCTAAATTTTCTTGACCTCTGTTTCATCTTTTGGATTGGGTTGTGTCTAAGGTGCCCTCCAACCCGAAATGGTATCAAGCACATTTTACCTTTTATACATTGATTTCAATTAGCTAATTAAATGATACCATTCCAAAGGCTAATTCTTACCTTATGAATAATGTGAGTTTTATTTTTGTTTCAGTGCTGTTCGAAAGAACCTAAGACAGAGGAATATTTCTGCTTTATACTTTCCCCTGTCTTTTATTCCACTCAGTGAGGGACAAGAAGATATAATGGAAACCAAATCTGTCTCTTTAAAATGGATTGAAAATAGGCGATGCCTAATCTTGCTAACAGATAATTTTCCAAATTTCAAAGAAATATCTCCACCTGCTATCCCCACCTAAAAAATGAAAGGGGTTCATTAAATCATTCTCTGATTAACTTTAAATTTTAATGGATCGGTGCGACAACCTCTCATAAAACAGTGTTTTTAAGTTGAAAGACAATTAAGGGAAGAAGAAGCTGAGGCCATGGGAAACGAAAGGACTTTCTCAAAAAAGAAATAATCAGTTGGTGGCAGATCCAGAATTAAAATCTGGGGTCTTGAGGGGATCTATTTTCCTGCATATAAGCTCCGCATTAAGTAAAAGGATATTAAATACCACTATGTCAAGAAAACTATTCTATTACGGATCAGGGTCAAAGCTCATTCTCAAATCTTGGACTATCCATTTCCAAAAGAAGTTTGATTCTGGCATAACAACTTACAATCCACACTCCATCAAACTCGAGAGTTTTATGAAATTCACTGAACTGCTCTGTCCACCACTGAGTGCAAGTCGGATTACTATAATCAGGAAAGACCGTCCATCCGGGGTATCCCTAGGGAACAAAGAAGAAGGCGGTGGCAGTGGGTGTGCCTGAGGACCACGGACACGCTCATTGCCGCTATTGCTTCTGCCACCAGGAGCCCCAGACATCTTACCATTTCAGAATCAAAACTTCCCATCAAACTAAATAGTAAACTAGATGCAAGGAACCAAAAGAAGGAAAAAGGAAAGGAAAAACAGCCATAAATACATGAGAAGCCATCAGATGTCTTCTTTCTATGAAAACACAATAACAAAATTTTATGATGTCAGACCAGCTGCGAGAACAGTCTAAAAACACTCATCCCTCTAACTGGGTAAGATTTTAGGAGAGAATGACTGGATTCACTTAATGTGTTAATTAAAGGTCATTTAAACCTGCTTTGAAGAATGATGTTTATAAATGATAAATTTGGTTTGGTAGAGAAACAACCTGTTTTAAATGGTGAGATGAATTTTGTGCTTCTTACTCAGGTCCAGTATTTCTTATCCTCTCTTCTCTTCCTAATCTATTCCTACCGATGTAGCTTTTAACATTTTCCAGAAATAGTGCAAAGATAGAAATTACAGCCAAATTATTGAAAACTCTGAATTGATAGGATACAAGCTTTTGTGCTTACATTCTTGTTCATTTTCCCAACAAACTCGTAGGTTGTCATTTAGGACCTTATGCTCAGGCAATATAATTAATGTATATCTTACATATGTTAATGTATATTATGTGTTATATATTACATATATTTTATGTTAATATTTATATATTATAAGATACATATAACGTGAATATGCAGAGACTTCTTAAAACTCAAGATGGGAGCTGAAAATTCTCAGTTTAAATGGGTTGAACTCCTGGTCTCCTGTGTTAGGTGATAGGGCACCAAATAATAACTACAGCTAATTTTGGACTCGGGAAATAGGCAATGTGGTAAAGAAGTCACCTACAGCAACACTCTACCTAGAGTAGGCCCAGCAAACTTCATTCCAACCAAATATCTTTATTTTTATTAATTTATTTGTTTGTTTATTTTAGAAAGAGAGATAGTATGAGTGGGGGTGGGAGGAGAGGCAGAGGGAGAGGGAGAGGGAGAGAATCTTAAGTGCAGAGTCCGACATAGGGCTCAATCTCACAACCCTGAGATCATGACCTAAGTCGAATGCTTGAACACCTGAGCCACCCAGGTACCACCCAAATACCTTTATAATAAACCTCCACCCACCTCCAAAACTACTACCTCTGCCAACATCTCAGATCAAATGTTTGTGTTATTTCTTGGTCAATGGAGGCAACTAATTAAATTCTTGTAATTATATGCAAATTACCAATTGTATACCACTCAAATATGAGTACTACTGAAATGACTCACAGGTCTGGATAATCTACTTTTTAGATAATCAAAATCATGTATATGTGACCATGGGCTCTGATTTTGTACTTACATATGAATATCGGTCTGATATTATAGAAATTCACTTCAAACAAAACAATAAAATCAAAGCATTGGTTTGGGGAAGGAAGGAAACTACTATTTCACAGAAGTTTAGACTCAATGAAAAAGAAAGTAAATAGAATTAAGTATTGTAAACAAAGTCAATGATAGGAATTAAGTGAGCAGTTAAGGGGGGATTAAGGGGGCATTGATAACCCTGAAAAGACAGTTTTGAAAAGTAAACCGCGTAGGAGCAACACAACTTGCAGCCACATAAACTCTCAGATTAAGTATCAGTTTTAGTAAATCTCACATAATCTAGTCAGCTAGGGCTGGCCCTATATGTAACTGGAATAGAAAGTTGCCTCCATGATTTGATGTAAAGTACTCCGGAAATAGGCTTCTAATAGGCTTCTAATAGCCTTCCTATAAAAGGCTGGGCTCTGTTAAGTCTCATGTAAAATAAAAGTACATTAGCTGAGACAGGTTTCACATTAGACTGTGATCATCCTACTACATTATTGTAGCTGAATGTACTGTCTTGGGAAAGAGAAAGAAATTGAGAGGCAGGAGGCCTTTAAGAATAAATGAATTTTCTTCTTATAATACATTGCCTCTCAAATATCTGTAGTACCTGTAGAAGGTCAGGGGCTAGCTTTTTAGAGACTAGGTATTAATTTTTCCCACCACAGAAAAAGAAATGATAATTATGTGATATGGTAGAAGTGCTCTCCCCACAATTTGCAATATATAAATGTATCAAATCAACATGCTGTAAACCTTAAATTTACACAATGTCATATGTCAAATATATTTCAATTTTAAAAATCCTTCAGAATTTTAATCATTTTACTATTATATCTACTGTTTTAAAAATAATAATAAAGGAAGCCTCTAAAGCATGAAAACAGTGATGATACTACAACGTGCTTCTACTCACTTTCATAATAAAAGTACAAACTTCCCCAAATTACTGTAATTTATTGATTTCCTTGCAAAATTACCTGCCCAACGACAAAGCCATTGTCCCCCAAGATCCATACTCTCTTTTTCCTTCCATTCATATAGGGCTGATAGTCAGAGTTATTTAAGATGCCAGGATTCTAAAATATAACAAATAATATTTTTGTCAATTTCTTTTGCACATTGAAAGGGAAAACAAGGCAACAGACTTGTTTGAACATACCATAATGATTACATATTTCAGTCCTTGCTTATGTAAGTCGTTGGTAAAATCTGAGAGATCAGGGAAGGCTTGTTGATCAATGGTGAAATCCTTATTTCCATCCATGTAGTCTATGTCAGAGTACTGGACATCCTGAAAGATAGTGCCAGCCAGTTAGAACCTAGGAAATATCACCGTGCTGACGGAAAGTATCACAGCTCTGGTTCTTGCTCACTAAAACTGAAGCCATATTTCTTTTTCTTTCTTTCTTTTTTTCTTTTTCTTTCTTTCTTTCTTTCTTTCTTTTTCTTTCTTTCTTTCTTTCTTTCTTTCTCTTTCTTTCTTTCTTTCTTTTTCTTTCTTTCTTTCTTTCTTTCTTTCTCTTTCTTTCTTTCTTTTTTCTTTCTTTCTTTCTTTCTTTCTTTCTTTCTTTCTTTCTTTCTTTCAAGATTCTATTCATTTATTTGAGAGAGAGAGAGAGAGAGTGCGAGCAGAGGGGAGAGGCAGAGGGAGAAGGAAAAGCGGACTCCCCACTGAGCAGGGAGCCGGATGTGGAACTTGACCCCAGGACCCTGAGATCAGGACCTGAGCTGAAGGCAGATGCTTAACTGACTGAGCCAACCAGATGCCCCTGAAGCCATATTTCTTAATGATCCTTGAACTTCCAGGGCTTGGCTACCTCCTAGAAATAAATAAGGCCCTTCTGAAAGATGCAGGCTTTCTCAGGTTGCAGTTTTATGTCTTTGTCCTGACCGATGCATGTCATGAGGCTTTGGGAGGAACTTGAGGGTAGGGACTGTGCCTTGTTCATCCCTGCAACTATTTTTTAAATATTTTATTTATTTATTTGTCAGAGAGAGAGAGAGCACAAGCAGGGAGAGAGGCAGGCAGCAGGAGAAACAGGTTCCCCACTGAGCAAGGAGCCTGATGCGGGACTTGGTCCTTGAACTCTGGGATCATGACCTGAGCCGAAGGCAGATGCTTAACCAACGGAGCCACCCAGATGTCCCCATCCCTGCAACTTGAGAGCCTGGATGCTTGACATAAAACAGGTGCTCTTTAAATGTCTGTTTGGGTGAGTATACTAGTAATGTTGTAACCATGTGCTAACTTGGACCCTAAACATTAAGCTAGACTATATCATAAGAGGAGAAAACAGTCTTCTTGCTCTATAAAACTTCTAGAATAATAACTCACAAAGATAAACGATAAAGGGGCAGAGCTTTAATTCACCAAAGTCTCATACATAGTTTATTTTAGTGTTTGCATACCAATCTGTGAGGAGCAGGTGTTATTCTTAGTGAGAAGATTGGAATGTGAAGGGTTTGAGTGACATTTCCCAAGGTCATACGCAGGGGTGGGTGGGGCCGACTGCAGCTTTTGTGATAGGCCCTTTGAATCCAGCTGCTTTTTTTTCCCAAACTGCCACAACTTCAAGGACATCTGAAGATCTTCTAAGAATGTGTTCCTCGAATAGTTAGTGTTCCTCATGTGTCTTAGAAAGTTCTAGCTTCCAGGCCTGCAGGAAAATGTGGCTGGTGGCCTGGTGCCAATGCAGCACATCTGTTCTAATACTGGGCAGTCAGTCAATACCCAGTGCCTCCACTTGCACATGGTGGGAAAGATCCAATCCGTGGAAGGAAAGCTCATTTGTTCCTGAATCAGCAGCACCTCAGAAAAGCCCTTCGCATCAGAGGTACAGGCATAGATTGAAACCAATACCACATGGAGTCAAAAGAGCTATTTTTGAATCCTGGTCCTGCCATTTAGCTAGTTCTAGTGACCTTAGAAAAGTTATTAACTATGCAGTGTGTTTCCATTATCTCATTTACAAAATACCAGTAAATGACGTTTAACCATGGTTGTGAAAGCACCTTATAAAATAATAACCATGTGGCAAGATTTGGCCTGATTCCTCCTGGAATTGAGTGCTTGCAGGTATCAGATCTGGGAGCATTTTAATGAAACACGTGATCAATTTCCTCTAGACACCAAAACACCACAGCAGGCATGTTTTCTCACAGGAAAAATTCATCTCCCTGCCTGCTCTCCTTGCTGCCCTGAGAGGGCATTGTTAAGTCCTGAGATCAGGCCAAAGTCCTTTCCACTTGCACATTCTTCCTTCGCATGCCAACCAAATATATGCTTGCGACACAGTTCCAAAGATCTAGCCCCAAATAAACTGTTTTGATAACTTCATTAAAGGCATTCTACATCTCCTGGAGGAACTTATCAAGTAGTCTACACTTAATAATTATCTATTTACCAGTGGACATTGAACATCATAAATACTTGGCAACCACTGAACTTTCAAAATTAGAGTCTGCTAGATCTGGAAGGAGTGTTCAAGGTCTCTATGAGAAATTCACTTACTGTGAGTCATTTTTACAATCATCAGCTCTTGTTAACCATATCACCCCACATGCTGCTTTCTTTCATAAAATAACAGCTAACTTTGATGGAGCTCATCCAATGTGCTGCCTGCCTTCCGTGCATAGTGTAAGGCATTCCTCACTACCAGTCCACCAGAGGAAGCCTTACATTCTCATTTTATAAAGGGAGAAACTAAGACTCAAAGGTGCTAATTAACCAGCCCAACACTGAGAGAGCCAGGAACAAGTAAAGCTAAAATTCAAAACCATATCCATCCAACTCCATAAACTGCTGTTTCCATGATGACACAGGTAATTTAGCATGCAAATTTCTGACACTAGGTGTGCCTGTTTGTCTACATATGTATGTACGTATGTATCTATCTATCTATCCACCTATCTCTCTCTGTATTTCTTCCTAATACATTGAATTAGATGCAAAAACTAAAAGATAGGAAATGGTGCCTTACACAGGTTAAGAGAAGTTCCAACTTACATAAGGGATCCCAGCTACAAGATTTCGGTTCACAACCTCCTTCAATCCACTGATGCCACCATAGTTCCTGCGACTAAGCTGGAACCCAAGACTCCAGTAGGGAGGCAGCAATGGTCGTCCAATGAGCTGAAAAAATAAATATAGACATGTCTAAGCATTTAAAAACTACTGTTTTGAGCACCATGTCTGATACAGAAAACACTGTTTCCATTTCCATTTATAACTCTGTTCAAGCAAAGCCCATACCTCCAGGTATTCCTGAATCACTTGTTCTGGAGTATTTCCCAGGAATACATAAAAGTCAAGGATGCCCCCAATCGTGCGGTAAGTGATCGCAGGAGCAGGCTGCAGGGTGACCTCTGAAAGGATTAAAGTGAGGGTTATTAGAATTTTGTGATTGCAAATATACTTTTCTCTAGAATATGAATACCTGAGCTATCTAAAACAATCTCAGTCTCATTTTGCAAGAGATGAAAACCACACAAAAAATTCTTTTCTTTAGATTGCTGACATTTATAATATTAAGTGAGTAAAACACTAATGAAGAATTGATTTTTTAAGAGAAAGCAGAACCGATTCTATTTTTTACTTATTATAATTTTATTTTTTTATCTTAATTCAATTAAGAACCAATTCTATTTTTTTTTTAAAGATTTTATTTTATTTATTTGACAGAGAGAGACAGTGAGAGAGGGAACACAAGCAGGGGGAGTAGAAGAGAGAAAAGCAGGCTTCCCGCTGAGGAGGGAGCCCGACACGGGGCTCGATCCCAGGACCCCGGGATCATGACCCGAGCCGAAGACAGACGCTTGACGACTGAGCCACCCAGGCGCCCCCGAGAACCAATTCTATTTTAATCTGGCTATATAACAATACAAATGTCTGTAATTTGTGAATGATTTAAAGTAATGGAAAAGTTTTAAAAACCTTATTAGACGAGTTTAATTACAATTTACAAATAAAAATAAAAACAAGCCCTTATTAAGGCACTGTTAGTCCAGAAGCTTGAGGGAGAAGATTCTGGAGTAGGGAAGGAATGAGCTATGAGAAACAGCTTACAGAACACAGCCTTGTTGCCTACAGACAGTCTGGTTTACATGTTGAAATCTACAGGTATCTTTGGGACCTCTCTGTCAATGCATCTTATTACCTACAGAATATTATGGAAAACACTGCATCCAAAGAGAACCCGAAAGAAGTTTTCAATGGAAATAGCTTTCAGCATGAACTAGATTTATAACAGGTTACCCTACTTTTGGGTTCCCATATAGAAGCGTTGTAGGTTAAATACACATTCTGTTAAATAGCGATCTCGCCATGAAAGTTGGTTTTATAAAAGCCACATCCCAAAACATATTCCTGTTGAGATAAAAAGATGCTTCCTACCCATGGCATTACTGTTCAACAGAAAAACACCAAAAGAGGAGCCACTGGTGTCTTCAAGGCACAGGAAGAATGTATGAGCTCCATACAGATTAATCATGTCCTGTCAAGAAAAATGATAACAAATAATAGTAGTACATGTTGAAAATGTTTTTATTTACCCTAGAATAAAGTCAAACGCCACACACAACATGTACTTGGTCAACACCTGACGTGGTTTAGTATTATATCAAAAAGGTATTGAAATGGTAATATCAACTGATAAATGGATAAACAAAATACATACAATGGAATACTATTAGTAATAATAAGAAATGAAAAACTGATCCATGCTACAACAGGAATAAACCTCATAAATATGATACTAAGTGAAAGAAATGGCTACAAAAGAAACCAAATATTCCATGATTCTATTTATATGAAGTATCCAGAAAAGTCAAATCTATACAGACAGAAAGCAGAATGGTGATTGCCCAGGGCTAAAGTGGGCACTGGGGTGGGAATGGGGATTATGTCTATAAAAGTATGAGGGATCCTAGTTGGGTGATGAAAATCTTCTAAAACTGGATTATGATAATAGCTGCACAACTCAGTAGTGTGCTAAGCAATCACTGAATTGTACATTTAAAACAGATGAATTGTATAGTATATAAATTATATCCCAGTCAAGTTATTTTTTAAAATTTGGAAAATACCTGCAAAGACATATGACATAATGTTAGCAGAAGATAATGTTATTATGAGAAATTTTGTATTTCTTCTTTATGCCTAGGTGTATTTTCTAATTTTTCTATAATTAATATATAATACTTAGATAGTAAATAACTTTAAAATTTAAAAAAAGATACTGAACCTGTCACAGGGCTGTGATGAGCACTGACATAAAAAGAGATAATGTGTATTACTGTGAGTGAAAAAGTGAGAGAAAGAGAGGGACAGAAGACAGAAAGAAAGGAGTGGGGAGAAAGGAAGGAAGGAAAGAAGGAAGATAGATAAGACATTTATCTAATCTGTGACTACATAACTCAAGGCTTTTTCAGCTCTAGAGAGCCAAGCTTAGTATGATGCTTATGTTCCATGTTTGTCAAGGGCCTTGAGCAAGCACTCTAGTGAATGTGCTGGCTATTGCTTTACTCTGGTTCAGTAAGTGTGTCCCCTTCATTGCATCAGACATTGGTGGGTGGGCCAGTTAATGTGCTACTTGATTTGTTCATCTCCTGTGGAATACGAATTGCAAAACTTCAGTCCCATCCCTCCCTTGCAACATACATCACAGATTTGGGAAACATCATCAGCACACTGGAGGCTTCAAGACCTGCTCTACAAAGCAATGCTACTCAAAGTATTGTCCGTGGACTGGTACCTCCCCACATCCTTTGCTGTAAATCAGCAAGGAAAGTACAAAAAACAAGAGAAAGAGTTTAGAAACTTTATAGCAATTTAAAAGAGTAATTTTAAAGCTGTTCAATTTAAAATTTGAGCTTATATTTTATGTCTTTGAGTAATTTTATTTCATTTCCCCAGGATTAAAAAAAAAAAATAACAGAGAGAAAGAAAGGAACTGATCCTTCACTACGGGTAAGTTGAGAGGCACTGCTCTAGACCAGCTCTTTGCCCACTTGAATATGCATGTGGTTCACTTGTAGATCTTATTAAAATGCAGATATGGTTCCATAGCTCTGGGCTCTGACTTGAGATTCTGCATTTCTAACAACCTCCCAAGTGATGCCAACACTGCTTTCTCCAGAACATACTTCAAGTAGCAGAGACCTAGAATAATACTAAAACTGCCAAAAGAGGAATTTTTTTTAGTCTTCAGAGTTCTACTGGGGGTAGCTCCTGCTGAAGCTCTCCCCTAGATACTACCCAATTATTAAAGACAAACATAGTTATTTTGCAGAAGGATTTTCTAATACATATTAGACTATCATATAGTCATTAAATTATATTTTCCTTCCAAAGTGGGATGTTTTTAAAAATTGATATGTTACTGATGAATCACTGACCGCTACCTCTGAAATTAATAATATGTTAATTAACTGAATTTAAAAAAAAGTTCTCATCACAAGGAAAAAAAATAATCCTATATCTAGTGTGGTGACAAATGTTAATCAGACTTATTGTGGTGATTGTTTCACAATATAGACAAATATAGAATCATGATGTTGTACACCTGAAACTAATATAATGTATGTCAGGAGTACCTCAATAAAAAAAAATAATAATAAAGAAAACAAAACCAAAAAAGTGGATATATTACTAACTGTGAGTTGAGAAACCTCCAGAACAAGTATCCTCCAGCACAGATGGATCTAACTTGGGCAAAATAAGATATGGCTATAACTCTGTAGGTTGCTTGACTCTAGGTCACTTCCGGAAAGGAGAGAAGGGTTTCCTTACCCTGAGCCCTAGGGAGGGGGGAGGGAAGCTCACCTTGGTGGGGGCGGCATCGCGCGTGAAGATGGGCCAGGTCTTCCAGCTCATGTTGTGGCGGTACTGCTGGTGCACGTGCTCCCCCAGCCCGTACACAGCAGTGCTGGGAAGTCGGAAGGACAGCTGCAGGTACTGCTGGGCAAACTGCAGGGGCCCGATGCTCGTGTCCAGTCTGGGCCGTGGGGAAACAGTGAGAGTCACCAAACAGCTCTCTCTGCCAGGACCCTGTCCGCTACTCTCCCTGTTCACGTTGAGAACAGTTGTTTCGGGTGTTCTCATCCACGTTCGTACTACCTCGGAAGGACTTTCTAGGGTGTCTCCGATGCTTTCATTCTAGAGGAGACATGACACCAGAAACTCAAGCTGGATGATTGGGGGAAGAGAGCAGATGGGACCTTACACTTGCTGGGCATCTGCTTCATGCCGGGACCTGCTCTGGATGCTTCATGAATATAGCTCCATTCACAGAGCAACAGTGGATATTCTGATTCCCTTTCTATAGATGTGGGAACTGAGGTGGATGTGAGATGCTTTGCCTAACATCCCAAAGCCGACCGGTGACTTGCTGGTGCCAGAATTTGAAAATAGGTTTTACCGACATTAATCCCTGTACTTTCTCCCACACAATTTATGGTTTAAGCTCAGGCCGTTGTTAGGTTCTTCATGGCAAGTTTCTCAGGAAATTAAAACTTGGAATGATAAACAGTGAAGTTGAGTTCCAAAGTGAATGGTCATCCAAAATAATAAAATTTCCTCTCTCATGAAAGACATTAACTACAAGTGCATTTATCTAACTTAGCACACCAGCACATTATATTTTAGCATGCTGTGCTCTGCAGTCCTGACAGGTTAGCAAGTGTTAATGATTTACAGTAAAAACTTTGACATTTTCTAAGGTCCAAACATTTTCCCAGGTCATACTTATCTCATCATCCACCCCCAGTAAGGCGGACTGAATGATATTGAGACTGTATATTCAAAGATACACAAAGGGTGTTGAAAAGCTCACAAGACTCTTCTGTTGCTTGTCCTCATTATCTTGATGCTGAAGGGCTTATCAATGACCTCTATGTGATAGTTCAAATTGGAGGTTCTAGTAGTCCTATTAGACAGGTTAATAATTTCAGGGGGGACTTCATAGCGTTTGTTGTCCTTATCATTGATCTGTCAGAAGAGAAAGAGAAAGACCAACTCCAGATGAAACCACTTCCATGTAGAGCTACAAAGAAGCTTCACTCTCAGCCCCTAAAGGAAATAGCTTCTAATTCTTAATCCTGTGTTTCCTGAGTTGTGAGGAAAAAATCACCCAATCACGTGTATGCCCCAAAACATGACACAGCCCACACATCCCCTTGGGAGATTCCTGCAGAGAGGAACAGAGAGGCACCTTCTGCCTCCACACCTCTATGCAGTGCCTTAAAGGCGAATGATCCGAATCTAGTGTGGGGGCACTGCTTTCCCCAGAGATGTATTCAGTGGTAACTACCAAACCAACCTTAAAATGAAAACGATTGGGTGTCTGATATTCAGCTGTGAAGACGGCGTTCTTGACATCGTATCCAAACAGAGATGGGAACGGCAACTTTTTCAACTGGGCTGTAAACCCTAGAGGTGGTGGGAGGAAAATGGGGGGAGGGGAAGGAAGCTTTTAGATTTTATTTTGCAGTTAGCTTATCTGAGTCGTAAAGAGTGATTCCCTGGGTGCTCATCAGGGTAATGCTCACCTGTCCTTGTATGATTCTTGCTACTGCTGACTTCATAGCCCCAGTTCCTGGGGAAGAAGCACCAAGGGACATTAGTGTCGGGTGCCGGTTTCCAGCAGCACTTATGTTGCTGGCTGCAGACATCCTGTAACAATGGCACAGAGTGACATGATATGAAATGAAGGAAAGAAAGTTCTGTCTATGTATTTATAACCAATTTTATTCCAAGAAGATTTTAAGATAGGTCCTATTTACATGCAGTCACTTATTCTTCTTTTATTCTCACATTTATATAGCTATCCAAAATGCATTTATTACCTCCCCGACAAGAAACTAAAGATATAGATAAATAAGACACAGTTCTTGCCTTTAGCAAACTTCCATTACAGTCTAGTAGTACATGCAATTTCAGTATGAGAGGAGTGCTCAAGGCAGAGAGTGCCCAGGGGCTCAAGGAACGCACACGCCGGCCATGGCATGCAGTCTAGAAGGCTGCAAGCAGGGTGGGGAGCACTTCCAGGCAGGTGAAAGATAAGCCCATTCCTAGTGCACAGGGAGGGGTTAGGTAGGGGAACAGGAGAGCAGAGAAAGCAGCAATACATGATAGATTCATAAAAACCACAAGTTCATTGTGCCAAGAACACTGACAGAAACACACAGGAGGGACACAATATTCATACCACGAGTAAGCTAGATGTCGGGCCAACCAATTTAGACTTTCTCATGAGGAACAGTCATGGAAATGACTAACAATATGGCACAAAGAAATGCATTTCTAAAATGTAAGAAAAGAAAACAAAGGAAATGGGAAAAAATTAAGATAGAAATGGGACAGAGGGTGACATAAACAAATTCACAATGTCTATAAGGTAAAAAAAAACCACATGTGGCTTCTCAGAGTGGTTTGATTATGGATTTTTACAATGATTATTATTTGGGGTGCCTGGGTGGCTCAGTCAGTTAAGCATCTGCCTTCAGCTCAGGTTGTGATTCCGAGGTCCTGGGATCAAGCCCCATCCAGACTGCCTGCTCAATGGGGAGCTGGCTTCTCCCTCTCCCTTTGCCACTCCCCCTGCTTGTGCTCTCTCTCTCTGACAAGTAAATCATAAAAGCTTTAAAAAATGATTATTTTGGGGGGCAGAGCAAGATGGCGGAGGAGTAGGAGACCTGGATTTCGTCTGGTCTCAGGAATTCAGCTGAATAAGGATCAAACCATTCTGAACACCTACAAACTCAACAGGAGATCGAAGAAGAGAGTAGCAACAACGCTGTACCGAGAGTTTACAGGGAACAAAAGCTCCTGAGAGCAAACCCGAGCAGATTGCTTAGCCCGACCGACAAGGGCGGGGCAATTCCGCCTCCGGCAAAGACATTTGGGAACCACAGCAACAGGCCCCTCCCCCAGAAGATCAGCACGAACAGCTAGCAAGCCAAGACCAAGTTTACTGATCAAGGAGAA